TTTTTAGTATTTGCTTTTATATACATATATCTGTGGAAATTTCAACTGTCTGTCAAATTTCAACGGTTCATGAGATACACTGGTCACAGACGGTAGGACAGACGGACAGACACAGCCACAGCTTTAAACTCTTATTTCAATCTTATTTTAATCGAAGTGAAGCGTTGCGATTAATTTTGAATGGCAGGGGGTAATTTCTAATACTTATAAAAGTTGTACTTTACTTGACAATAAAAAATACCTTTAGAAGCAAAATGCTATTCGAATCTTAATGTAATATTTATAATAAAACACGGACGAAATAGAGTGTTCTGGTTTCCGTACCAACACACCTTATAAAAAAGCTCAATTTTAGCTACCAGTTCTAGAGAGTTCCATAGTGGTCATTGCGTCCCTTTAGTCGACTCCGGTGGTCGAAGTAAGCGCGGCCGCGACCCGACATCGTAAATTAATATGGAAAGCGTCCATTCATGTGACCGTACACTACACGAAGTCGCTGGAAGGATAGCAGGCATGAATAAACCTATATGGGATAGAAATGTTGATGTAAGACCACGTTTGAACATTGTGAAGTATCACATATTTCTTTTCGAATAATAAATATTTGTATTAACTGTTCGTTGCTCATATTCTGTGTTAAGAAAAACGAGCTGCCCTATTGGTTAATTGATTGTGGCCGAGCGTCATTTAGATTGGCTGTTATGCCAGGCTTATTACAAGGACTTTGCCTTCTTCTTTGGGTTTATGAATTCTAGTCCTCCTAAACCATGGTTAAGCATTATTCACAATCATAGTTCGATACTTTATTGGTAAAAATCAAACTCAGACGCCGCTAAATCAGAGATCCGTGTTAAACGGTCACCGAGGCATCTGATCGACAACGCAAATTAAATAAACTCCATTCTCTGGCACAAGGAACAGATCGTGGTTCTTCCCACACTCGAGGGGGCCCACCGCGTATCGAGTGTGGATAATTCAAATAATCAAATAGCAATGCGATGCCGAACTCGACGGTGATTGGCCGCGATAGATCCGCGGCCATATTGCCAATTAGACCTCATTGTGGACTGATTGACCATTACGCTACGCAGTTAAGCTTATTAGATTCGATACAGTCTTATAACTAGCGTGCGCTTGTTGTGAGCCTACTATTGGTTCAAGTACGATCAATTGTGCGAATGGAACGCTATCGAAACTTCTTTAGAGAGTTTTCAATCTATTATGGAGTCTGATAATAAAATTGCTCTAGGCGTTAGATTTCTTTTATTAATTAATAGTTCATAAAATTATTTATTTAATTATAATTACATTTAAGTTGTTAAAATGAAACCTACGTATTTTTTATTGCTTTGTAGGGTTCATGGTACGAGACGGACATTGTCGAAAATTTCTTTACATTAAACTCAATAACAATTATAAAAAATACTTCCTCAAATATTTTAAGTATAATTAATATGTAGAATTCGCATAAAAAAGTAATCAAAACATAATTTAAAAATTGTAAGTATTTAATTTTTACATTATGTTTTGATTACTTACAACAAAAGCTTTAAAAAAATGTTTGTTAAATTTTCTTTTTTATTAGATAATTTTTACACGGCATGATAAAAAGCTGTTGGTAGCGAACCATACACATGGGTGACGCGGCCAGTTGCTTAGCAACCACGCAAATCGATCCATAAATAAACGTAACATCCATAAAATAACAATATCCCCTTTTAGGCTGTCGGTTATTGCGACACGAATCACTCTATAACTTACGTAAAACGCCCAAATACATTAAAAACGTTACAATCATATTTTTTTTCCATTCCGACGCGTAATAAACTTGTCTTCTTTATTTGGAAGAAATTCTTATTTCCTGACAGATATGGAAATCGAATAAGCCAGTGGTCGCTGAATCTTGTAGCCGTGGTCCAATTATGTGTATCAATAAAAATAAACGCCTATCGGGTATGACGCCAGGCGCTCACTGCGACGCCTGCTATGGAGAGACTTGTTTATTACAGATGCGAAGCGAATTGATCAATTAGATATTATTCATTGTATTAGATGCATTTGCCGGGTCGAAAAGACATGCGCCAAAGCTTAAGCCGGCTCACCGGAGATCGTATAGCAATTAACGCGTAAAAGCGTCCATTAATTATTTTAATTATCACAGCAGCATAAAATGTTGCATTCGTAATTAAGCACTGACCCGCATAATGTCTTCGCCCTCCTTTTGCTGGTATTTATAACTATAATAATTCTCGAGCTTTTAAGTTTTATCAAGTTACAAATATAATAGTTTACAAATATTTATTCAAACCTGCCGGCTAATGAATAGAATCGACAGTAGGCATTTAACATGTCATTTTAGAATACAAGATCTTCGACTTCTATCATCTTATGGGGGTTGTTAGTGTTAGCTGAGGATATGCACAATTCACATAGTTTATTACATTCTTTTCTATTTCACTATGCGACCAGAACGCCCTGGAAACGCTACAAGCATACAACTTAAAACTTTACTTACTACTAAACATTTTTGACAATTATTATCTCTTTAAGGTAGGACTGTGACAGCCGTCAGTCATCACACGAAACGGATGCCCCTGTCACTTCATTCCTAGGAGACGCCCATTCGTGGCATGCGTGGTCCGCCTAATAGACGGCCATTCACGCCGCTGGAACATTCGCCGCGTGAATGGGCTTCTTCAGCCGACCCGGGCGAACGCGCTCTACGACCCCATAGGACCGTTGGGCGAACGCTACTCCGAGCACGAGTATGCCATGCGAATAGAGATATCATCTTTCCATAACAAGACGAGACGCGTTTTATTGTAAACGTAAATAAAAAGTCAGTATAAATTGACGATCGTAAAATAGCTTCTCTTCCAACTAGTTGACAAATGAAAGTTTACAGTTTAGAGCCTGTCGATTGTACACATAAGGTTTCTTCTTGTACGCCCGAGGCTGTGGATCGTGTTTAGAGCCGAGCCTGGGTCTCAGTCCCCCGCGAAGGCAACGCTCAACTGGAGCGGCGCGGGTCATGGGAAAAGCAAACACGGAACCCGACGTCCCACAATGGCCCCGGCTCACGTATCGGCGCGGAATGCGCCGCGCTATTACACGCGTAATTTCTATTACGGGCCTATTACAATCGTAATTGCGTTTCGTCTAAACCCATGTGCGGGTCAAGGCAATACAATAGACCACTATGCGTTCGCGGCGTTTTTTTTTATTTGCTCAACAGCAACAACGGTCCGTGTGTAGTTTCGGTAGGCGAAATGAGATGTGAGAAACGGCTTTGTTTCGTGTCCGTAGGTGGGAGTGTGTATTTTAACACTTGGAAAGTTTACCGTTTAGTTGAAATTTTCGAACGCGTTGAGCAATCAGGTAAATGTCGGGGCATTGCAACATTCGAGGTTGTTGTAATAATATGCATAAATATTCACCGAACGTTCATGATTACAAAGTTCACGAAGTCGTTTACGATTTGAGCCGTAGTTAAATCCGTGTAAAGCGAGTGATTAAATGTTAATACATTTTTTAATTAAGAAAAATAATGAACCTCATTGTGGTGAATTCCAACAAGGACTTGCCCTTAAAGTCTGTAAAGTTTACGACATTCAAAATTGGTATGGTAGATGGTCCAAGAGCAGAACCTTGTTGGGAACCCGCAGCCTTAGTCCAATTGATGTTAAACTGAAAACCGGTAGCTCCTTTATTCGTTGATAGCTTGCAATAATAGGTGATAATAAATTGATATCCAGTATCCAACAAGATATAATAAGAATTGAGACCAATTCATATACCGTGAAGTCATTGACGCCACAGCCTCCTTGACCCTACAAAAGCCGTCGGAATACGGAGAAATTTCCCGGACTCATGACGCGGCCACCGAGACAACCTTGCCTCCAATATTGCGAGCCACACTTGGCGCCAGCCGTCGACCTTTGCTGTATTAGTCCAATCAATTAATAGCTATCGAGCGGTGAGACTAATAAAGCGGTAACGATCGTGTTCCTCGTTTAATAGGGCTATATATAATTTTTTATTGAACAGTGCAATTATGTAACTGCTGATAGGTACAATGATAAGCAATAATAGATGCCGAATATGAAAAATAAATTTTCATTATTCCACTAACTAGTAAGGTTATTTATTATACGATTGGAAGGCGCTACAGTCTTTTGAGGAACTCTTTTTTTAAACAGTGGAGTTTAAAGTTTGAAATGATTCTCCACCATCCCGGACTATATTCACTCTTTAATTCCTGATCACAGCTGGAAATCACCGTTATTATTTACTATATTTACTTTCACTTATCTAACCTTCTTAGAATGGCCTTCAAAGAGCAAATATCAAACTATAAATAGTTTTAATTGCATAAAATGAAGCGCAAAGTACTTGTAAATGAACATTTTTACTTATCCCTTGTTTTCGGCGTACGTCGAGACCTCATGTCAAATAGCTTCGTTCCTTTTTTGAAAGTTGAGCAAGGAATTAATGAGTTTAGACATAAAGGTTGAATGGCCCATGGCTCTCAGGTGTCAACGAGGCTCTCCACACGGCTTCATCCAGACGCACTACACACGGTTCATCGCTCTCATTAATTCAAATTCTTAAAGGTCTATTCTCAAGAGTCTATTTCAAGTCCGTAGCTAGCCTTTCTTTAGTCGCTCCACAAACACATTACATATTTGAGTTGTTTTTAAATATTTTTTCAAGTATTTATTTATCACAAAGTTCACACTTTCCAATGTGATCGGATTCAAGTAGATATTTACAGACAGAAAGATTGAAGAAGACCTAACATTGAAGAGTTTTTTAATCAAAATTACAAAACAAGTTTAAATCAAGTTTTCGGTTACGTACCCTGAAAATAGCATTAAAAATAGCACAGATAGTCGTGAACGAAGCCGAGACGGACTTCGGAGGTGAATTGTAACAAAACTATTATAGATCTATAGAAGTCTAAATAAAAAAAAGAAGTAGCCGAGTCGAGCGTAAAATTATGCAATAGCACCGACCGCACCGAAATCCGTCGCTTCCTGTTCGGACGGTGGGACGTGGTGACCACGCGGTGGTGACCGCCACGCTCCGGCAACCGAACGACCGACCTTCACCTTGACGTGCAGCTCCATTGGCCCACGAGAAATATAAATGGAACTAGACGAAGGGGTATTGCTATAAATGATAGCTAGAGATTTATAAATGAAGCAACGCTGAAGGTTGCCTACAAATTCTGTTGTAGAAACGATTCAAGCTTATGTATAATTTATATAAATGTTTGCACAGTAACGATGTTTTTATTAATTATACGGATTACGTTCATGTCTCAATGTTTTGACAATTAATATCTAACTTAACAATCTTCTGTAATAACGACGGAAACACTTACGTTTGCTTTTAGTGTGTTTTCTCATACAAAATTTCACCTGATATAAAAACCACATTTATATAACGATTATTCAGTAGTAGGCCATTTATTTTCTTAAACATTTTTTTTGAGAAGGTGGCAAGCGAGCTGTCGGCTCACCCGCCACCCACATTTGGTACACCCGTAGGGTTGCAGATGCGTTGACAGACCTTTTAATAAAGTGGGCCCCTGCTAACGCACTCACCAGACGAAACGCAGAAGTATGAAACTTCTACTTCACGCCGGTCTTCTGTGACATCGTGGCACTTACCTGGACGGACCTGAACATACGTTCAACGGTTAAATTAGATTATAATTCGAATAATGAATTGAAGAAATTGTTACATCGACTTTATGACAAAAATATTTCGGTATAAAACATGTAGTGTTAGGTTGTATGCTTTAAGCAAATATGCATTTTACTCACTTTGGGCGCAGTGTAAAGCCAATGGAACACGCGGAAGGCGTGAGAAAGGGGATCGTAACGGACACCAGACAATTGACCCCAGAACAATTACAGGCCTTGCCAATAGCCATATGGGATCATTTGAGCGAACCCTTGTTTACGACCCGAAGCAATTCGTTCCACTATAAGCTGCCATGTAAAAATTTCTAAGCACCCAGTGTTTGTCAAACGATAATGTTAACTTTAAATTATAATTATCATAAACCCTTCGTGATCACATAAAAAGTAAGAAAATAGATAAAGATAGGAAGATAAAAATAATGAATAAAACAGTGAGAAAGGGGAAGAGAGAGAGAAGGATGAAAACAGAAAAGTAAAGTTACTTATAGTAATTCAATCTGAAGTATGAATACCGACATCGGCAGAGAGCTCGCGACGACAGTAATCCCGCGCGACGAGAGCGCGGGACCGTCTACTCGCGAATCATTATAAATTCTAATCGGTATTACGATATAATCGGGCCGTTGGCATGCGTCGATAATGGTGATGGCCGCGGGCGGGGCTCTGTCGCAGTCGGCGACATTACGACGGTCGGATGCGCCGCCTTTGAGCGATATCCATTATGCGTCACTATCGCGTTCGCTATGGTGGTTGTTGATTAAAGCGGCGATGGAATATCATCATCGTCGCGTTTACCGACGCCCGCTTCTTGAATAAGCTCGCATTTGAAATTCGAGGAATTCTGAAAGAACATGCACAATGTCGCTCTGATATTAAACTTCAATTACTAAAGTGAAAATATTTTATTTACTGCGTTTTACTTGTCACATTTGTATTTTAAAATCCTTTACTATTAAGGTTACTAACTGTAAACAGTGTCAGTTGCAACGTTTATTGATGTTTTAAAGTATTAGTACGCTCAAGGACAGTAAATAAATGTATGAATTAACATAATTATCATCTCACATATCTAGAATGGAACGAATCTCCTTGAGACTTACATGTTCAGCAGTATTTAATATTTGCGCGACACTTGGGTACAAATGTATGACGGTTAGGTAAACAGTAGGTTATGAGCCGATGCTTGCGAAGAAAGTGGATATGATAGTGATGTGCTTAAACAAAGATCTATATAGATATCATGTCCGTAGGAATATAGGATTTTACAGTTTGAGAAAAATGTAAATGATTTGGATCCGCTTTAGTATCCAATAAAATTAATGTCCAGTAACTAATCCAAAACATATGCTGGCATACTTTTAGTGCGGAAAAGTAGGAAAAGATTGTGGCTAAAATTTTCCTAATAAAATACAAAGTAATGACTATTAAAGAATATAACTTTTTTTAAACCAACCTGCAGAGCAGATGTTATAAATCCGTTCAAAATGATCTGTTGAAATTGATTTATATATATAGCATGCCAGGACGACAGTAGTTCTAATTTCTTCTTAAGGCAGAATTTGTTTAAGTAAAGTCGGCAAAAAGCAATGCGTCGCAGAGTGGGCAGTGGCTCAGGTCCGGTATTGCCTAGAGCTACAGAGGCCGGTATGCTAAGGAGTGGAGTAAGGGGCACATGAATGAATATCTATAGAACCATATTAAATCATCGTCTACTTTCCATTTGTCCACATAACATTAATCTCACTAAACGTTACATACAATCGAATTGCCCTGTGTTTGAATCAACCAAACAAACGATTTTCTCGTGTAAGTTCAAAAATTGTAAACAATCAACCTTGTAACAGCTGTCTTGTCGAAAGCATTGGCGGCCACTTCTGTTACATCAACGCGTTCTTTTTGAGACGCACATTAGAAAGCATTATAATCAATATCATTCTCTTGCCCTTATTCGACCAAGGTAGGGTCGGCACATATGTATCATGTTTAAAGTAGTTTTGGCTTGGTTTTTCAAGACCAGCCGCCTGCTTGTCGTCAACCCGGCTTGGGAACAAACAACCAGATCCGGAACAATTATCTGTAGGCCACACATACATGTCTCGTGCGGGAATCGAACCAACGACGCGCGGCGCCTAAGCCAACAGCTAAACAACAGCGCCACCGAATCACTAGAAAACATTATTATAAAGTCTAACTGCGGTGCGACGCCTGTATCCGCGTGGCGTTTTTCATTGTCTGAGCTGCGTGCACAAGTAAACAAGACATCTACAAGTTGATGGTTCTCTAAATCGTCCGCTCCTGAGCGGTGTGCGCACTTTTTACCGTGATCAATAGGTATTTAATTGGTCGACTGGCGTGCATTAGTCGCGGTTGGCGTCCGCGCATTAATATTGTATGAGTCGTTCAGGCGCCGGCGAGACGTATGCGCTGTAAGGCTGGTCTCGAAGAGAGTAAACATAACCCAGACGGATATTTGAGTCACTTCCAGATGTACATTTTTGAGAAAAGTTCTGCCGTCTTTTTGATTTTGGCGAAAATTAATTAAAAAGAATTGCTCTTATATTGCATAATAAATACAAGTAAACAAAATATTATATTTCTATCAATTCACCAACATAAATTGGCTGTACTGCAAACTGTGAGACATTAATTTAGTTTAAAAATGAAATCTGCTTCCTAACCATTTAGCCCGAACCAGATCAAATCAGTCAACGTATAGTTGAACAAAGAGCGATTTGTGAATTCAAAACAGCAACAGAAACTAGCATCAACCTTTTGGTAGTTTATCGGCTCATGCACTGTAAGTTCATAACTAAAGACGACATTGCTAGAGGTTTAAGCGTGGACGGCGATCGCTATTAATTTCTCATTATCATATTATAATATGTCATATTGTTATATGCACCTAAAATCGCGGCGTTCATTGTTAAGAAACGCCCGCCACTTTTAGCTTACACCGAATCCGATGTGAACGCGACCGGTCGAAAAGTCCAAACCGCTATTTGGTCCGATAAAACTGGCGACGCGTCGAAAGGACAACCGCGATAAGTATGCGGAACTGCGATATTGTGGGTTTCTCGTTTAATCAAGATGATTGATCTGTGTCTTTATTTAACATCGGCGGTGAATTTACGAATCCTTTGCGAAAGATACGGCGTTCGGAAACTTTACATTTGGATGAGGTATCTATTACTATTATTTGACTCTTTTAATATTATTTAATGGGCTACGAGCGTAATAAATAATCTTATTTAGATTAATGGACTGGGCGGGGGTTACAAATTTTGTTTAGTGATGTGAAAAGTTAGTAAACGAAAAGCCTGTCCACCTGATGTGAACTGATTACCGCTGCTCATGGTCATCCACAACACCTGAGTAGTTGTATTAAACTGTAAACCAGGCGGCACTTGGGGGTTACTTCACTCCCTAGAGGAAACGCTAAAGTATATAATAATCGAATAAATAAACGCGATTCGTTGGTCTTCCCTACCTATAACATATTTAATTCGATAGTGTCAATATGAATTAATTTCAGAGAGACAACTATTATATTTACCATGCGTAAGTTAACTAATCACTTGCCTTTTTTGTCAAGTGCCTTTTTTGAACTTTCCAGTTAATTTTCATGGATTTAGAAATCAGTTGGGATTTGGATTTTACTTAAACAAGCACCCTGCATTTCGATAGTTTGCGTATATTTTGACTACCAACACGCATTTTTTTGCATTACATCTCGTCTCGGTAACAATGCCCATGGATGTGGATTGGAGGGTTGAAGACGGGATTATATCGCTGCGGTTGTTCGTCAAATCGACGGACGATCGGTACTGAGATCAAATGGACGCCGCTTCGCATCTGGCGCGGATTCGGGGGGGTCGTCGACACCGGGTCCAATTTCGTACAGCGCGGATTTCGCTGATCGCCGGCCGTGAAATGCCTTACGGCGGAACGGATCGGAACGGTACTTGCGTGGTTTCTTTTTCAATCGGGACCCGTGAATCCTTCGTTGTTGAACCGCCACCGCCGGAGTATCAAATGTTTTTGTTTATTTAGGCGATGCTTCCTATACATATCTCGGGTGTTTCAACTTCGTTTCCTATGTACGGCACTTCAAGGATTTTTTGCATAACAACACATGAAATATGTATCTTCTATTCTTCTCCAAACAACTCTGTTCGTCACCGCTTACCGTTAACATTGGTCATAGTTTTAGCCAATTCAATTTTCATGGAATGGAGCTTATCTCCAACTATCACTCAGTCCGAATTTTAGTAAGTAGTATTTTAGTAGTAGTCGAAGAGCTAGTAAGTAAGTAAGTAAGAATGGAAATTGTTTTTGTTTACACATAACACTACTTCGAATTTTAAATTTACATACGAGCATTAGTCATTTAATGTCGAAAACAAACAAACAACGGAATAGTTTCGTTCTTATTACGATCGGCTTCCATGGAACTGGGCCATTTAATAAAACACTCACGCGCTATAACACGAAACGGATAAGGTAAAACGTACCCCACGTGCACGGGCCAGAGTGCATATTGCGTCGTCTCCGCATTCACGACACGTGCGCATTGTGGGGGCATTCATTAACGGTGGATGAACGACGGGCGGATCGTAAACAATGATGAGGTGGTATGTAATCGACCGTTGCCATTGCCATCTGCCCCCTACCTAAGCTACTTCACGACGCCAAGCCGAGTGACCGTGGCCTTGGGGGAACATTCCTCAATGGGAAAAAAAGATTTTTTCTAATGTCTTCGCAGAGGTTGGTGAAGAAACGTTTACTTAAAAGGCACTTGCAGCATTGCTTAAGATACGAAAAGGCAATGTAGATAAAATACGTTGTGATTTTCTTCGTTGTGGCAATCGGCCGTTTAGCTTAGTGGTAACAGCATCTAAGCGCGAGTCCAGAAGACGTAGATTTGATTCCCGCAGCGGCGATATACTTTTCTTCTCTTCAAAAACATCGAAAACTTTGCATTTCCAATAATGGTCTTTCTATCACTTTAGAATTACAGGCGGTTCCCAAGAGGTACGTCATTTATTTCCTGTACTGAAAACTAATCCAGACTTGTCTTTTGCCTAACATAATAAAGTATGTGCGCAATGACGAAACAAATTTGAATGAACACTAAAGTACATGTCAGGCAAAGTGTTTTGGAACACATTATGCATTCCAAGAAATGGAAGGAGGCCTTTGCCCAACAATGGGACACCAATGGCTGATAAATGTATATGTAAGTACTGATAGATAAAAAAAGAAAGCACCCCCATATTAAAGCTCATCAATTAGCGCAGACAACTAGACCCTTCTCCCCCAGAACTGTCGGTATATCATCTGCACTGGCCGCAGCCAGCGCTCGTCCCGACGCGTCGCGCGCGTAAAGATCGCGATGCGGGCGATCGATAAACTTGTCGCTTATTAAGGCGGCGACATCAAAGGCGGCGTCGCCAAAGCCGGGGCCGAAATCGCGCGCGTGCTTAGCGGCAAGTTCATTGCCACGATCGCAATGTGCGCGCGATGCACCGATAAGGGCGACCCCGCGCGGCGGCGGGCGTGTCGGATCACATGCACATGGTATGGGACTTAATGGGTTCTTATGCCTAAATGTTTAAAAGGAAATCAAATGAAAGTCGAATGCTTTTGATGGGTCACAGTTCGATAAAGCGTTAAAATTAATCTTCGGACTGTATGCATAACATTTTTGTATCTTGTATCTTGTATTAACTGATGTTTTTGCTTTCAGTCCCGAGACTATTAAAGCTTCATCTGACGCAGAACCCGGTAAGCTAGCCAGAACCCACGGGTTTGGGCCCTCCGCTGTGGGTAGGCCCGCGCATGTGCTCATGCGTGCGTTTAACTACGACATGCCATCTAAGGGCCATCGAAGTTGCGGTGCGGACCGAGACCCCGATGGCCGTCGACTGTGTTTTTAGCTAATCGGTGGCTGGGGGCGGTGAGAACCGGGTGTACATTGTGTACGCGTTGTGTTGGTCTCGCCGTGCTCGGAGGGGAGGGCGAACTAGTGTGTTTGTTGTTGCACTAACTGTAGGTGTAGTGTTGTCCGGCGGGACCCCCCCCCCGGCAGTGGGTCCGGCGTATCTAAGTCCCCGTCCTCGACCGGGTCGATGAGGACGTTTCGCGGGCGACGCTTGTTGACGTTCGCGTTTGTGTCGGGTTGGTAATTTGCTGCGCTTACCACCAGAGGGTTGGGATGATGTTCGGCTCTATCGAAGAACCGTTTGGTCAGGTCTTTAAAATATTCGCGAATCGTCGGGAGTCTGCAATCGCTGTGCAGATCGACGTTGCGTTGATACCACTGCGCACCGGTTGCACGGCGGATGAACTTATTTTGTACTATTTGCAGCTTGTACAAGCGAGTAGGGTGCGTGTGGGCGAAGATCATGCATGCGTAGGACATAATAGGTCGTACGCAGGTCTTATATAATAATAATTTGTGCCTTAAGGGCATTTTACCTTTAGCGTTAGTTAAATTGTGTAGCCGGCCGGAGACGAACGCGGCTCTATTACGAACGTTATTAATGTGCGTAGTAAATGACATACGCGAGTCGAAAGTGACTCCTAAGTATTTGACCTTTTTCTCCCAGGGGAGCGGTTGGCCATAAAGGGATATTTGCCCCAACTTTCTGCATTGGCGAGGACCATTATAAAGATGTGACGGGTAAGTACTTCGTGTGAAGTGAATCGCTACACTCTTTTCGGGATTTATTTCTATTCTCCATTTGCGGAACCAGTTGCCGAGGCGGTCGGCGGCGCTTTGGAGTCGAGTGGTTAGTAGTCTAAGGTTGCGGTCTGAATAAAAGAGCGCCGTGTCATCCGCGAAAAGCGCGAGATTGACGTGGGGGTCTTTAGGTATATCGCTCGCGTAGAGCGTAAAGAGCAAAGGTGAGAGGCAGGAGCCTTGTGGTACGCCGGCCGTGAGGCGGCGGCTTGTGGAGAGGGTGCCTTCAACTCGATATCGAAAAGAGCGGTTTAACAGGAAGGCCCGGATGGTGTGTACGAGCCTATCTGGCACTTTGAGTGTGTACAGCTTGTAAAGCAAGCCGTTGTGCCAGACCTTGTCGAATGCTTTTGCGACATCGAAGAAAAGAGCCCCTGTACTAATATGTTTAGGGTGATTTAGGCCTTTTAGGATATGTTCCGTTAGGCGGAATAGTTGATCGGGACAGGAATGTCTAGCTCGAAAGCCGAATTGTTCCGCCGGCAGAAGGCCGTTGGTAAACACGTGTTCATTGAGCCTGTTTAATAAAAGCCGCTCGTAGAGCTTCCCCAGGCAACTGAGGAGGCTGATGGGACAATAACATAACATTATCTATCACAAGGCAGTGCACGACTTATAGGGCTACACTCGAGAGAAAATCCGTTCACCTCATCATCCTCCTGCTCTTATCACACATAGTTGGGGTTGGCACAACATGTTGTAAGCGGTTTTTAGCGGCTATATTTTGCGACCGGCCGCCTGCCTGACGTCAACCCTCCTTGGGAAACAAGCAACCAGATCCGGAACAATTATCTGTAAACACAAATTCTTGTTCAGTGGGAGAATCGAACCCCAGCCCCCGACGCCGAAGCCAATAGCTTAGCAACGGCGCCACCGAGTCGCCAAAAGTGAGTCGTTAAAAGAAATCATGAAGTCAAAACTATTTTATATGTACAATTTTTTTACGCAGAGAAGTTACGGTTAGGCGTTCCCCTAGGGTCTAACGAGATCCACGCAAGGAATGTCACGGAAAAAGTTCGCACAAGTGCTGGCCAGTTTTGAATTTAAAAAAATATGTGCCTCACTGCACCCGTGCGAGATAAGCACCTACCTAACTTCAATTGCGTCAAAGCTCACCACTGTGGAGTAAACAACGGCACCGGGTAAATAAACATAGGGACCTAATGCCTAATCAGTGTTATTAATACAGACAAACAACGCAAACAACGAGGCGACCAATTAATTAGCCCAATTGGGGCGAGACGAGGCCGTCAATATTGACAGCACTACGGCCGCGGTGACAGGTCCCGCGATAAGCGACAGGATAATGCTAAAATTGTCAAGCGGGAAAAATATTGAACAAAAGTATTCACCAGTTTGCTTTAATTTAGCGCAACTTTAAGTGACAGCCAAATATTTAATAATTTCCCATTCAAATATTTAATTTTAAATTAATTAAATTTAATCAAAATCGTAAATATGTAATAAATACTATGACTTGTATGAAATAAATCTGTATTTACCCAAAGGACATTTACCCAAACGGTGCCTGCGCGTTATTAAAATCGAAAGAGATATGACAACAAATGAAATGAAAAAATTAAGAAGGAAACTCTAAGGCGCTCCAAAGTGGCGCATGCTGCACGCTGCATGCATCGCATGCGGCCACGTGACAAACGACCTAAAGCACGCAGGTGCGGGCATTTTTTTTTCTCCGGGCGACCGCTTCACCGACCGACAGTTGATACCGTTTAATAAATTAACGATACCCCCGTACCCTTCCTCAATCCCTTCCACCGTCACTACGAATTATGGCACCATCGGCCGAAGAAAGGGCCCCGAATTCTCGAAACACCCACGCCTCTATAAAGCACGGCAAGCGGATATCACGGTTCGAACAAAAACATATTATTATCATCGATTCCGGAGACGAGAGTGCGCGCGTATAGGTCGACCGCCCGGCGTTCGCTGACAAAATCTCTGCGTATGTGTATAAAGCCTCTAAACTTCTAAAGAATCCCGCGTGGGATGTGTGCTATGGAGCAATAATAGGAAACTGTTAAAAAAAGTCGAATACTATTGTCGAACGATTTATTATCAGGATAGGGCTAAGAGACAGATATCAACGTGTACTACGTAATTAACAATAAATCGTTCAATTATAATTATTAACTTTGACTTAACCCCTTTTGGGATCTTTAAGTAATCTGGCCGCAAATACTAATGTATAACCGTACATTTTTTTAACGATAAAACAAATTAAATTGACTGCCAACTAAATATAAGCAACTAATGTACGTACCAATGTATGTGTAAATATAGACATGTATCAAGCAACAATTTAACACAACATGCTTAGATGTGTATCCTTTTAATGTATTCGGAAGCACGCATACGACATCGGGCGTAGGAGAGAGGCGACTGGCGATTTTCAATGCGGTACGCGCGAAGGGCGGACGCGTTCACGGAAGAACGAAAATCGCTGTGACATTACAGTATTCTACTACAGTAGAGCCTAACGCACCGGCTTTTGCCGTCGCGATTGGCCGACTCGACAAGGGAGTTAAACCACCACTGTAACATTGAGATGACCATTGACACTACTGTGGCAGCAATCGCCTTTTTATGTTAGAAGATTTATGTGATTTCCGCCGCCCATGGACATATGCAACAACCGTAGGGTTGCAGATGGATTGCCATCTTTTAATAGTGCGCTCCGGTAACTTCACTCACCAGACGAAACACAGAAGTGTAACTCTTCCACCTCACCCCGCCGTCTTCGGTGAGCTCGTGGTACTTCCCCGGACGGTGCTGTCCGTTGGTGCAACAGTGAAGGCCTTTGCGTGGCCTTACCAAAGTTGAGTCGTTTACATCTTCGCCAATGGCGCGGTAGGTTTACACCGGACGGTCTCGGTGAGAATGAAATCGATCGAGCGAAGTTATTGCGTTGTCGCCGGGAACATAACGGCCGCGTCGGCGTACAAGCAACTGCACTTCGGATAGCTGTCCGCGCCGATTAAACATTTCGGACCCGGCCACGAGACGGTGTGCGAGGGCTAATGGTGGAAGCTTTAATGTCGCCTGGGAAATTTCTACCGATGTTTATGGTTAGAGGTGCGATATCTTAAAAGCGCAGTTCGCAATATCAATGGATTTAGAATCGCTGCTTTCCAATGTTATTATATTCTCCGCTAGCGACAAATTCCAAATGGGCCACTAACCACATTTCTATTTTCGTTTTCTCCGACTCGTTAAATGGGCAACATTTGTTCCAAGCTATTCAGTAGTTTCGCGTCGCGATTATTATACCATTATCTAAAATAACAAGGGCAATATTAAATGGAAATTCACTCAATTGAATTAAAATCGGGAACAGTAACAGTGTTTATTAATCGTATGAGACAAATCGTTCACTAACAAATTTGTTGAATCTGTGGTAAGAGAAATTTCTAATCTCGAATTGAATCTGAATCTGATCCCGCTACCAGCCATATACAGTGCCATGGACCCACACAAAGCTACCAGCATTCTTTAAACATCAATATTTACCGAGTTATCACAATTTCCAAAACAAAGAATTTTTGAACAGCCTTACGTAACGTAAAGTTCATTTGTAAAGGTCACAAAGCATACGAATATTAAATGATAATTGGCAAGTAGCGTTAGACGTGTGTTCATTTATTGTTCGCGGTGGTAAAGACACGCTGTATATACACATAAGTAGAATAAAAATGCGGCTAGATTTTAAGGAAGCAAGGAAAGACATTTTGCTCCTATGATGGACATATTGAAATGGAAATATCAACTGTAAGATTGAAGATTGGATACTTAGGTATGCAAGTAGTTGTTTCTAATAGAAGCACTGACAATCCGAAATTACATGTAGTCACCGACCGTATATAGTGAGTTTAACGGTACCTAGCTTTTACTAATACCCACGGCTTGGATATCGCGCCATCTCGTCCACAGCCGACGACATCTTTAGCGGCTCACCTGTACGACTATAAAACATTTCTTGGCCAAATATATACGCAATTTGCTTCCGTAACTGATGCATACAAACGACCGTTTATCACGCCTGGGAAAGAGACCAACACACGAAATTTGCATATATTAAAAAAACCAAAATTTAAACACATTAATGTAAACTATTATGCCAACAACGTTTAGGAAACATTCAAGAGCATAATTATTTAATAATTAAAGCATAAATCTGAAACGAAAATTATTATTTTCAGTTATGACTTAACTGTGCATTCTAGCATTTGTTTCAATTATTTAACCAAATTAATTTTAATGTACATGATAACTAAAACCAACGATTGCTGATAGGATGAAATTAAATATGATACAAAATAAAATGATACTAAACAAATTATGTTACAACGTTATGACCCACGAGATGAGACGGGAGACCTTATAATAGACAGTTTCGAAAGGCGCCATCAAACAAAAATATTTGTAAGAGACCGTTCATCTCGAAAACAAAACAAAAACTATAAACTGCTTCGACTAACCAAAACAAAGTGACCGTCATCACTCACGGCATCGAAACGTTTAGACCGCTCGAAGCACAAATCAATTCGAGACAGAAAGGGACAACAACCCACCCTGCCAACCCTCCAGCGCCTCGGGCCGTTGTGATAATTGTCGAAGACGGACGCACAAAAAACCCGACAGACTAGACATTTTAAATTACAACTTTTGAAGTCGATAAGTAAGGCGATTAAAACAATATCTGTCCCGGTCCCCTTTATTGTTATCTTGTAATAAAAACCGCCCAAGTACGAGTTGGAGTGCGCACGAAGGGATCCATACCATTATTTATAAAAACCCTCCATTTAAATATATTTTTATTCTGTTTTTTTTTATTCGTTATTACAGAAATCTAACAATCACGGTTCGTGATTTACAACCTGGTGACAGAAGGACGGACGGACAGACAGACAGCGGAATCTTAGTAATACACTTTGGGGACTTAACCCTAAAAAGCTTCCCACCTAAAACGCGAGGCACAGGGAGAGGTGGAGGCGTTTGAAATGGTGGTTGGACGTCATGTATAATGCGACTGATTACGGAACATAAAAATATAAGACCTCGTTCGAAGAATTCACAATACAAGGAATTACCGAAAATTTTTCATGTTTTTAATTTAATTTAGTTTTATTAATTTATAAATACATTATTTAAAAGCATCGAGAGCCATTCAGAAGTCAAAGCATCATCGTAGAGGCATAGTATTAAATCATAAGATATCGCTGTGACAATAATAACGTCGAAAGCAATTGTAGTTTATAAGTCGAATTTTGTATGCAGTCCCAAATGGATGACAAAATAAAGCTAAAAAGGGCATATTGCCTTTGCCACATTTGATGTAGTTTTCGTATCAGAATCTCGAACATCGTTCCTTACAGACGGTGACGCATCTCGGCCACTGCCAGTGGCATTTGTAATACGGCGTCTGGTAGCTGTTGTTAAAAACTATGCAGACTCAGAGATACATCGGATAAGGGTTGGCGCGTCTAGCGTGCACTTGGATCCGTTTCAAGAAGCAATGCCAGTATGAGAAATTATCTTAAGAGATACTATTCAGATAAGCCTCAAATTCCACATTTCCCTTACGTCTGTCTATCAGTAATTATTTTAAACGAGTGTTTTTCGTTAAATATCAAGCAAATTGGCTAATTTGAGCGGTGGCTGGTTTTCCAGAATCGCAATTATAAAAATTATGAAAAGACATGCACCATTAAGATAAGGCGTCAAGATTCACGTTCCAGATAATAATCTATAAAAAGGATTCTTAGTGAGTTTTACTATAATTATGAATGTTTTCAAGAGTTGGCATGTAAATTAAGGATTCCTCGCAACTTTAATATGAGCAAGTTTTTGTTATTGTTTTTTATTCCATATGAATTTCCAAATTAGTATACTTATAGTCTTGGCTATTTAATTTTTCCCAAATTCAATATATTGAATTGGGAAACAAATTTTCCCAAATTCAATATATATAAGCCGTGATAGCTCAGTGTCCGGGCGCTCGCCTTTAATTCAATATAGTCGAGCAACCTGAGTTCGATCCCCAGTGCCGGCACCAATGAAGTTTTTAACTTTAAGTGGTGTCTTATCACGTGCTCCGCGGTGAAGGAAAACATCGTGAGGAAACCTGCATATTTTCGAAATAATAACAAAAAAAATATTTCGAAGATATGTGAAGTCCGCCAATCCGCAGTGGGGCTGCGTGGTGGACTATGCCCTGATACCCTCTATATAGAGGAGGCCTTTGCCCAGCAGTGGGACATGTATAGGCTGTTACTTTTTTACAATATATTGCTGATAATTGTACAGTTAAAGTCGCACAACTATATGTATATTACATGAATAAGTCGATAATATCCTGAAATTATCCATCCAATATAATAAGATAGTAAATTGTTAAATTTTTTTCAGGACACATTTATACATAAAGTTATTTAGTGCCAACCAAGCGAAGTTTGTATTTTGGGCACTAGCTAACTGATAAGCATAAAAATACTTATATACTTCTTACGTTCTTTTGTAAATAGATACATACTACACCAAGCACCAGAAATACACTATCTTCATCACATGATATTTTTCCACCAGTGGGGATCGAACCCACACCCTCTGAAACAAGAGACACGATTCACTATCCACTAAGCCAATGGGGGGCCATGTGTACTTTAATAATTATACCTCAATAATTGTAATACTTGTTACTACTACTAGATACATTTGAGTTTTGATGAACATACAGAATTTCCAAACATGGCAATGATTTTCACAGCATAACGTAACTAGCCTTGTATTATATATTTCAGTCTCTAAACCAAACGGGCTAAAGTGCAATTTTCCTCGCAAAACTCGATAGGAGCTAATCACGCAAGGCCTTTCATGTTTAGAGACAAAGAGATGTACAGGAGCGCGTGTTACATAACCTGGCCGTGGCTTCCATGTAGGCAATTAGTTCATGCAGTCTGCATTGAAATTGTTACAGTTTATGCAACGGCACAATTAAGCACGATTCTGCTCGGTCGCACCGTCTCTATTATTAACACACCATTACCTCAACTACTGCCATTATTACAATATTTAAGTCCATGAGCATTATCTATTTCAATGGATTTGTGATGGGCAAAAATTACTGATGAATTTGTGCCTGTTTCACTTTTAAATTTTTTCCTGAAATAATGAAGCTGTTCCATAAATAAAAGAGCACATAACTTTCGTTATAACTGTGCTAGAGCTTATATTTTCGCGCTTTGTCTGGGTCCTAAAGAGAAAATATCGATATTTTCGCTTTAAGACCCGTTGTCTAAAAAAAAAACAAAAAAAAGGTATGTCAAGTATTAATTATTTGACATCTACGCCGAATTCGAATTTGAAAAAATATCGTTTTTGATATCATTTCGATTTTGAATATGTCATATCGATATATCGATATACCTATACCATAGGTAGGGATGTCAAAAATATCTCTCTTATTGGATATTCTATGGAATAGCAGACGGTAAGCATTTTAATAGGAAGACTACGATTATATCATAATAAAATAAAATGTTGCACACTGACACTGTTACGTTAGCACGTGACATATCTCCCGTTTAAGATAAAGCAAGCATGAGCAAGCCCTACCCAATACAGAGGGCCATATCAAGGTCTAAACAAAGTCCTACGAGTTCCGTATTGCTCGAAGTTTAAGTAGTCTATGCACTGAAAGCAATAACTTTACAATTATTTTACCGTTTTATACGCCATTATAGGGTAACTGTAAACAGCCATAAATATGTTACACACATTGGGATTATCGAAACAATTTTAACCGCTGCTTAGTTAATATCCGATTTAATGATGAAGCGCACACTGAGAGATGAATGGGATTACTGTTCATACGCATATGGAGGTCACGCGAGTGTATAAATAACTTTGTAAAATTAAAAACTCTTTGTAAGGATTCAAAGTTTAAAACGAGAGGAATATGAGATCGTTAGTCACGTGCGGGGGAGATAATACAGGATATAATCGAATCAGTTATTAATTGCACAAAGAGATGCTAGGCTTGTTTTTGTCATTACGAATAAGGAAGTATGGAAAATATACATACAATTGACACATTAGATATGCATCAATTGTGTATACGTGCCCGATTTTATAAACACAGGTGAATAAGACAACGAAATGAACCTAACAATCCGTAGATATTGTGACGTCTTAGTAACCGCCAGTGTAAATGCAGAGATTTTGTTTCGTTACATTAAAACAAATCGGAAAGCGTTTCAAGAAATATTTGCCCGCAACAATTTATAAGAAGCTAGGAACTAATTTTTATTTTTTTTATTTCAAAGAATCTAAAAAACTTGAAAAAACCATATCGAACACTCCATTTCGGTTCAAGCAATTAGGTCTACCGCCTATCACGGTTGAGAACTCAAAAGCTGCGCGACTTTATTCATACATAATTGACGACTTGCGGGACCGCATTTAAGCCACGAAACTGAGCCATCATCGTTGGTACAGTAATTGAACGTCATGACGAAAAAACGCGCCCAATTCGATTCCCGAACCGTGTTATAGACATCATAAACGCCCCGCAATCTGGAGCGCGTCGTTTCGGCGGCAGAACGGGCGAATATTTATCGCCGCGCGATAATTGCCGTACGAGATGCGCTAATACGGACTTGGCGTGATCGGCTGCAGTTACCACGGAGCGGGGCTGGAACTCTCGTCGACCCCTTAACGGGCCCTCGTGAACTGCACAAAATGAACTGTGGATACCTATATGCTAGTATTTAGAAGACTTCCATCATGGATATTGGCATGGGCAATTGGAGAGGTTTAGAACAATTCTCTATTTACGCGTTGTACACAATTAGTAGTGAGGAAATAATGTAAAGGAATAAAACAAACTACTTGTAATATGCTCAATGGCCAGAAATCGAATAGAACAAATGAATAACACTTTCGAAGACCAACAAAATAATTTTCAAAAACCATTCTGATAATGTTGCCAGTAATATTCAGTTGCTAATAAAGAAAAACGAAAGATTATGGCAAGCTTAATCCGATTAGTTCAGCTCGACTCTTCTGTTAATAAAATTGAAGCGGCTCACGTTACTTCGGACATTGACATCATATTTTTTGTAGTATTTCTTTGAACCGAAACACCGAATGATCTTATTTTGCACGCACTTAGATGTAAAGATTAAATATGAATATTAATAAAGAATAAAGAGGGAATGAAGCAATAATATGATTAAAGTATTTACGTGACGTTTAACTTCTACTGTAGAATGGCGAGGAGATCTTTATTCGATGCTTAACATGTTGATTTTGTTAATACTTAAATGAAACAAAAAGCCGAAGGCTTTAAAAATACTAATCGTCCTATCTTTTCCGCGTAGTGTTTTATGAAAGCATACGGTTTTAAGTACTATATTTTTCTTTGTCTTACGTTAGCTTTTTAATGGAATTGTTTGAAATATACTTTTTTTTTAGAAATAGCTTGGGAGCGATCAACTCATTCCCCGGGATTGTAATTTGTATTCTATTCATTTATATTATAATAAACCTTTTTATAAAGTATTTGAGAAGGTTACTCAAAATAATGAACACAAATGCAGTTGTAACAACCGTCGCCTGTACAGCGTTGCACGCGCGCCATCTGCGTCGCAGTTCCAGCTGTCTCAACAGCGCGGATTCCGGTGTCTTTAGTCACGAAGAGACAAAGGCGCTCCGGTCTGACGCGGCGGACGCCTGGCCGCTTAGTCAGGTGCCGGAGCCCCAACAGGATGCGAGATTCCACTTCGCAAACCGTGGCTTTTATACTAACATTGGACCAACATTTAGACTAGACCCAGCCCCCTGTCTCGTCCGCGTGGCTCTTTGTGTGTTGGATGACATAGCCATAGGTTTTAACTGAAGTGGGGCCACGCGATAGTCTTCGCTGTTGCACGAATGGGCAACTCCGTCCGGGGAATTACCACGATCTCATAGAATACTCGCGTGGCAGTGTTATACTTCTGCGTTTCGTCTGGTGAGTGATGTAACAGGGGCCAAGTTTATTAAAAGGTGACAATGCTACTACAACCGTACATTTCTCATAGCGTGTGTTTATTTGCAAGCACAAAGTCCGTGCATACTACATACTGAAATATAAATAGGTTGTTACCTCTTAGCGAAATCTTTTCTCTTTTCTGAGGAAGATGATATAAAATCTGTGGATGCGATGGTCACATTCTACAGTTACTTTGAGACACCATATCACATAAATAAGAAGCCGACGACTGCTAATCTGTCGATGCGGGCCACACAACACCGAGAGGGAGCGTCAACGACGAACTAAATCGAACAATGTGTGGCCGATCGATCAAAGTCAGGGACATGCCTTCGGATGTTAAAATATCGCAAGGCTAAAAAGTGCGAGGCTACTGACCGATTGGACGGAGTTGTAAATGAAGGCGGCGCGGAAACGAAATATGACAGTCATTATTACTGCCGCAAGAAACGTGCAAATATGTCAATTGTAATCTGATTTTATCGCAGCCAATATTTAACACTCCTTTTTTACTAGAATACAAGTTTATTTCAAAAGCAATGAGAATTACATTTTTCTTTATTTGTAAATCTACTCTACTAGATTAATTGCAAGTATTGTAATGCACATCCATATTCTTCAGCTTAGAGTTCAGCGCCCTTGTTGGAGCTTTCAGCGTTGTATAAAATATTATTAATGTCGGATGTGTTTACAACAATTTCGGACCTCTTAGTTGATCATAAAAATAAACAGTTGGACACATTATTTTTGCGTACCATATCGGATATAAAACTGGTATCACAAACGATTTGTGAATTTAACAGCATTGCCACATCCGGTTAACTCTGAGCATCAAATTAGTAAGGTGCCGTTACTTCAGTGTGCTGATGCCAGTCTCAAACAAACCGCAACGAAACGACATCAACGGCGAAGCCACCATCCCAATTATTATCGACACGAAACAAAGACATTTTATCGTGGCAAGACAACTCGAAATAAATGGTTTTGCGGTGATAAAATTTACATGCTCGTCTTCGATAAAGGTTATCCATATTTATAGCCATTCTATAAGTACTTAAGGCAATTTCATTCCGAGTAACCGTTGAAAGCGAAACGATGTTTTTTTCATCTCAAAATCCATTCAATTTATCATCTAAATATTATCGTGTCCCTATGGAATCTGTATATATCATACTATACAACTCTTTATTTTTTTAAAAGAAGTTAGCAAGGGAGCTGGCGGGTCACTTGATGTTATGTGATAACCGCCGCCTATAGACATTTTCAACACCTGAAGGTTTGCAAATGCGTTGCCTCTTTTCTATGAAGTGGGCCCCGGTTACCTCACTCACCAGGTGAAACGCAGAAGTATAACACTTCCACTTTACGCCCGTCTTCTGTGATCCTACCTCAGTATGTTGTATGAGCATATTTGGTAAGAACCACGTGGTATCCAAGTGGTAAGTAAAACACCTGAATAAAATTTTAAAACTTAGTAGTTATTATTGATGCCGCAGTATCAGTAATAACAGTACCGCACTAGATGTATCTTAGGTATTGTTGAGTTTTAAATCTACTGTATTAGTAGATTTTAACCGTGACCTGGTAAAGTGTCAGAATCTTTTTTTAAAGTTAAATAATAACAGTTCATCACCGCGTAACCACTTTATAGAAGTGTCAAAATTGTGAGGAGACTATTTCGCATTGTGCAACTGTGGTGTTTCCTAAACGCGTAAGTGATCACGTTTGCAAACTTGTTTCGCAAATATCTCAAATAAACTGATGTAACGGTAACTTGTTGAACGTTCATGAGCTTCAATCGATAGTATGTTAAATTAATGTTTAGTTTTTTTACGAAACTTGCCGTGAATTAATTTGACTGTCGATTGATTTTTATAGAACTAAAACCCATTAAAATCCTAATTAAAATTGTTACGTGAATATGAACTTCTAATTTTGTCTGTAAAGAAATTTCGTTAGAAATTTCAGTAAATTATAGAGGTTACAATATTGATTACGTAGACTGCAACATTTACATCATCACAGGTTCGAATAAAACAAATCAACGCAGCAGTAAAAAATTATCTTCGGTAGCTCGAGCGCCATCGAGCGTCCTTGCTTGCTTTTCAAAATAATTCCAGAATCCGTGACTGGACGATTGTGAGTTCGGAACGCTTAAGGGATAACAGTGTCAACCTTACAAGCGTCAAGCACTTTAAAGCTGCTTTGGCTGCAAGGCGTGTTGGCGCAGCTCTCCAACACGCTGGGGATTTGCCGCTGGAGTGCGCACTCGACGCTGACACGTACAAATTGGACAGCTTTTTCCAAGTATCCGGAAAGCAAATTGTTATTGGAGCGTACTCCCCCGCGCCGGAGAAGGTGTCCCTGGATGAGTGTCGAAATGATTGCACACAAAATAAATTCAGATGGAAAGACTTTCGGTGAGAGATTGGTGCTAGCTGAATCGAAAGAATATTTTATAGTAATATTATAAGTTACTTTAGCAAAAAGATTTTAATTCAACTTTTGCATTCTCGTTTTGTATTGTGTTATTATATTTTGGATTTCAGTAGATTATCAGTCGATTGCGTTTCCTTGGATGTATTTCTAATACTGCATAGAAATGACTAGTTACTAGGATTCAACTTTAAACATTCTGTTATTAATATTCATATTATACCAATATGGTAAAACTTTTTTTATGTATCATACCACGCTACTAGCGTAGTTTTTTTTTTTCGATCAATCACCGTTGACCTTTAAGCGGCGTTCCAGGTATACACATTACATATGGCTTGATGTGGCGTTGAGAGCGTTGGACGCCTAATCTGGCTAAAACATGACTAAGCTCGAGGGCTCCCGATGGAGCCTCGGCTCGGGCCTTCACTCTATTAGTATCAATATCGGATTGGGTCCACATTGTTTACCTACGTATCTAGACGACCAAGTAATGTACTTGTGCTAATATTTGTATCACGTTCATTCATAACTATGAACTCCCCAATCATAAGCTCACAAACGGACAGTCATAGAGGTGGTAAGTTTTAAAGTATATATTAGGAGGGATTAAAAAATTTACCGTTAGGTATATATTTCCGGATATCTGCTATCGGCGCAACACATGACCGCGCTGACACTGATCTTCGCCGGTCCCCGGCGGGATTAACGACACTTTGATCTATTGCAATGACGTCACGACGCGTGAGTACGTATCAAATGACTGTAAGAACCGGAAGAAGCCCGTTACACGGCCGTCGATCATGACGATTTTGTCTATCCGCCACTCCGCTAGACGCTTCTTGTGGCCTAGTTTACAGATATTGAAGTGTGACGGCCAATTTTGTTACAATACAAAATCATAATCGCCGTTCAATATTAATAACCTCTAGAGCTTTTGCGAAACATCTATTCTAATATTTCATTTCAATTTTGATACAGAAAGCAGTTACTTAATCTCAACGATGCAGTAACTTGAATGTTATGTTATCATTTCGATGTTAATAGAATCCGCAGGCTTGTATAGTCTTTATATTAGAATAGTCATATGTATATATAACACATGCATCGCTGTACTGGGAACTTCAAATGGTGACAAATCTCAAATTAATAATAAATAAATATTTTGAGACATATTTTTTCACAACGTTGTCTAGTCCCAAACGAAGCTTATGTTATGGGTACTAGGTAACTGATAAACATACTCAAACGTAATTTTCTTTTGTAAATAGATATATTAATACCCAGACACTAGAAACACACTATGTTCAGCACATCATATTTGTTCAGTAGTGGGGATCGCACCAACACTCACAGGCGCAATACCCAGGGTCACTTATCTATGCCAATTTCGCCGTCAAAAAATCTTTGCCGAAACCTATAAGTCTATACGCCGTGACAAATTGTCTAATAATAATCTAACCAACAAATTTGTTTCAAGTCAAGGGTGGTTATTAATATATCTGTATCTGAATACCACTTGCAACATCTCAATGCAACTTTGTTGCAGGCGATTCGATGCCTTCCCCTGCGCATCGCATTTATTCCTTTTGTCATTTCGCTCGGAGCGAGGCACATAAATATTGCGACGTATCTATTTGATATCTGCCACGTGATTTATAACCAGCGCCCGTTATCTTATCACGTGCATCGGATAGAAGAGTCAGAGAACGGTTACTCCGATAGCTCTCGCCACAACTACACTACAGAGAGGAAAAATCTTACGAACAAGATAATTGTGGGGGATATTATTCATCTACGAAAAGTTATAAGAGGCAGAGGTCGTGATATTGTTGCGGGGATATTCTTTATGCCCGAAATGTAACCAATGATAAAACAAAAGTCATTCGACTCAAAGTATTATTTATTTATTTGCAAACTTTATTGTACTAACTGGTATATCCAGCCAACAGGAAAGTTAGTGAGAGAGAAGTGTAGGTGCTAGCTATATAAGGTAAATATATTATTTAATAAATATATTATGTAATATGTATACATACATTATGATAACAATTCGCTAAGTATTCCATTTAGTTTCCTCATCACGTTTGAAATAATAATTACAGTAGTACACGACGGCGAATTTACCATTTTATAAGTTTATTCACAAACATCGCCAGCATTTCGGCACTTGTCCCGGCGAACTAGGCTAACGTGGGCGCCCTGGTTCCAAGAGTTCGACGCGTAGGCGGCTCGATTGTAAGCTGGGGTCCGCAAGAATAAGCGAAAGAATAAGAGCGCTGCATCGGCAGCTGGTGTGTCGTGCGACGGACTGTCAAGAGTGACACGAGAATAAACTGTGCGCAGATGCAATCTACGCGCCGGAGACGGTCCGTCGTGCTTTTAACGGACGATGTAGGTGGACAACTTACGAACATTATAATGACGACAATTGTTTATAAATAATTCAATCAGAATCGTAGGTAGTACACATTCCGGAGAGAATAGCGTTCCTTACCTTTACTTAGTGCAGTAATAGCGAAAAAGTCCTAACGATGATCTAATCACAAATCGTCTGAAGTTCACTTGTTCAGTTAATAATATACGCCAGTGTAATTAGACGGAGCGCGACTGCGACCCATCCGACTCACCCTGATGAAGAACCTTCATTAGGTCCGAAACTATTCGGTACGTAAGACTGTTGAACGTGAGTTCAGTCGTCTTATTATTTCCAGTCTACATTGCTGTTGAAATGCCGTTTGTTCGACCGGTAACCTTAATAAAAATTAGTAAAATCGATAGACAAATCTATTAACGGTAAATAAAGACGTCGGTTGCTCTAAAAAAAGGTCGGCGTAGCGAATCGGCAGCATTAGTATACGAAGTCGATGCACAGCCGGCAGAATAATGGTGCCCGTCTTGAGATATCGATTTAAATGACTACTAATTAAAGAATCGGACAGGCTGCCCGCATCGAGGTTAGTGGTTTGTGGGAAACTAGTTCTCGACGGATAAAAATATTTGCCCGACACAGATGGAGATTTACGGTGTAGTAAAATGCGAGTTAACGATACCGTGATATCGATCGCGCGTATCGATGGTTCGCGCGGCGTCAAGATAGCGCATGCGACGGTTTTTTTTAGAAAACTTTAAATTAAATTATTGTCAGCGCACGCTAGTCTACAATTTATTGTCCTTTTTTTAACTTTTGCATCTATACATTTACTTTTATCACAGTGTCGAAGTGTTCGATGCTGAAGTGTTCATATGAATCAATGTATATTACGTAATTATAGAAAACCTAAAAACGGAAGTTTATTTGTGGTCGGGCTTAATCTGGCGACCTGGGACTGCGGGACCAAAGTCCCGACCAGTCTAGCGTCATCCACTACTAATCGTATTATGACAGGCTTATCGCGGAAGAGTGGCTGCCGACACGCCATAGACAGCGAACGGCCTAAGTGACGCAATTAGGCGATTGCGCAGACGGGGATTAGCAAATTTCACACTCGAGCGACCTTCCCGGCTCTTTCACAAAACGTGTCGCAAAGAAAACACCGTGCCGAGCTAATTCCTAATCTTTTTCCGATCGCCCCTCGCTTTTCTTTTATTTCACCTACCGTAGTCCTCAACGTCTTAATCCAAATCTATGACGAGAATCGTCTGGAAGTCAAATGGAATGTTTATCGTAATGATAGATAACGAGTGATATGACATCAAGTAAAATAAATAACACGCGAAATAATACCAATACGACCATGATTTTTTGAAGGTGTCGGAATAAATCACATCCACACATACAGACGTACACGTAAATAATAATATGGGCATCTTCATAAATTATAAATATATGAAATTATTTGTACATATACATACAATTACATATGAAAAACAATATACTTTCATGAATGACAACTATACTTTCTTGAAGCATCTAAAATCTTTTATTGCTCAGGTTTTATATAAAAAAAATAAAAAAAAAATAATCGAAAACAAATGAAGAAGTTAACAGAAGAGCTTTTCCTGCGCTCTTAGCGAAACGGTGCCGTCAAACACGTGCGCTACATACACATATAACGAGACACAAACTGAACGTGAATCATTCTCTCCGGTGGGAGAGAAAAGAGCGCAATCTAAATGATTAATTACCTCCCCCGAGTGGCCCAAATGTAATACGGTGGGCACCTCGCCACGGAACCGGGTCAGCGTTTCGCACGACAACGGCGCACGCCGATAAGGAGTGACGTATGGGGCAATTTGCATCGGAGCGCCCGCCCGCCTGACTTATTGTCGAATTTAATCAGCCCGAGACAATGTACGTCGCGACTGTATGGGGACACGAAGGTAAATTTATTTTAACGGTACGCCTGATTGAATTCGGTATAACAACTTTGCGAAAGTTCTTTAAAATATATTAACGCAAAAGATGGTTTGGGCGTTACCTAGTTTTAATTAATTTGGTCAGTTTTTAAAAGCATTAGAAGGAGCAATCCATTTAGTAATCTGATAATCATAGGATTCCGATGACCGAGCAAGAACTTTTTATGGTAAATTAATAATCAAGTACAAAAGTCGACTGGCGCGTAGAGCTAGCCGAACTGGAAAAGTCCGATATGGTACAACAACACAGAAAATACACAGTACAGGTAAAACAAAATTGCATACGTTTAAAGTGCCCTAAGAAAATGGTCAAACGTCGCATCCTCTCGCAAACTAAATGCCCCGAGACGATCTCTCGATTACGACCCTCCTAGAATTAAGTGAGTGAAGTGAAGTAGGCCGTGAACGCGAATGGGGGCAGCTGTTGCAAGGAGCGCCGATACCTTGCTGGCTTTCACGATGAACGGCCGATAATTACCCCTTCAGCGCTGCCACACCGCAAAAGTAAACGTCACCGTGAGAGAACCTACGGCGACGCAATAAAAACGTGAATTTTTTCCACAACTTCCAGGTCTACAACTAAAGTATATTTTTACACGAAGGGGTTTAAACTTGAGTTTAACCTAATGTTAGCATTACGAAATACACGCGCAACCCAGAGCAGTTCTTACCGCTGCCATCCAACGTATAACACAGTCGACGGCCGCTGATGTCACTGACTTCATGCTGGAGGACGTCGACGGCCCGTAGCCGACAATCCCATCATTTTGATAATGAACTTCAAATATGCGTGTTCTGATAAGTTAAACTCTATTAAGTTCATATAAACCTAGGTTATCCGCGAGCTTAAAAGAGCATCATAGCTCATTGCCCGATGACTTACCGTCGTTGGAGTTGGTGGTGTCAAAGGAAAAATTATTAAATCTCTTTAATCCAAACGAAATGCAAACGTATAAATACTATTACTTCAAGACAACTTCGAGAGTCGAACGCGACGCAAAGCAACAAACAAAAGGTCACCTCGTAAAGAATACAATATGATACATCGTGTTCCCGGTAACCGTTGCAACGAACGTGATGTCGTCGCGGCGATAAATTACGCGAAACGAGCGGCGCATTGGCGTACCAGGCCCAACAAAGCGTGCGGTATCCCGGGACACGTCATTTGTACACTTCATCCCACCGAGGCTTATTAATAGCCCCCCGCTGGTGCTAAGCGGCTAATAATCGCTGTCAAAACATGCTCGCCTGACTTCTCGTTCGGTCGGCTCTACAACGCACCCTTCACTGATTATCGCCCTTACTAACCGCGGACGAAGAATCAAAATGCAATTTGCCAAGTGGCAATAGACAATGAGGAGTTTAGATGGGGAAATATCACCACTCGAGATGGAAGTATTTCTATATTGTCTCACTTTAACTACTCTCTTACAACGTAACGACCATTAAAGTTGACGTATATGACACAGTCATCGCTTAAAACATCAATATTCAACCAGAAACTGCGGTGCACAGGAAAAAAATTCCACGACACCATGAGACTGCACAAATAAAGCAATGAGGAAAAATTGCGAGCAGGTTTCAATTACACCCACCGTTAGACATCTGAGCTAATGACTAGTCCAAAGGCTGGCCAACATCTAAACTGCAAAATGCGCGATGTTATCCCTCCTGCCCGTGTACGGCGCGTATGGTTGTCGTTACGAACCGATGAGATGCAGCGTTTTAGTGTCCGGCCATTGACAAGTAACTTAATAATCGTCAGGGTTATGTTAGCCAGGAACGCCGCCAGGTTTTCTCGCTACATATGTTATTTGTAATAAAATGTTTCTCACACAATTGTACGGGCAGAGACATTGCCGTGTTTAATGAGGCAGCAACAATGTAAGCAATGCAAATATTGCAGCGCGTGCGATTTCAGTTCATATTCCCCACTGATAAAGGTTACGGTTTAAGAGGAATTATTTCAAACCTACGCGAATCGTTGCTAATTATTTGAACAGCACATGTAATTCGAGACCGGAATTTCTTGACTTCGGCCACGACAATCGACCGTAATGCGTTATCTTTATTGAGCGTACAATGTTGTCGCAACGAGATGGATGTGATTGGTCTTGTGAGTTGATGCATCGCTCACAAAAATGTCACAGCGCGACGCGAGATAAGAGATTATCTTGTAACCGAAGACTGCGCAATTATTAACGAACTGATATATTGGCTTCACTATCCGATGAAGAGGAGAGTAATGCGGTACAAGGTAATGATTAATTTATAAGGAAATTACGTAATTGGATTAATTTTTTGCGTATTTCAATCACACGGTTACGAGCTGGGGGTTCGGAATTGGAGAGAAAACGCCGGTCATTTAAATGTTTAATTTATTGACGCCAACAACGACTTGCACTGCGTTAATAGCGTTTTAATCCTTACTTCTACTACCGGTGCGACGACAGCTCCGTAATCGTAACAATATCTTGTGGCGAAAACAACAAACATTGCACGATGACGGCTATATTGATGAACACTTCACGCCAGAAAACGCCAAGTCACTCGGTCGGCTTGTTGTAAACGGAGACCGTTGGATATAAGTGCGTCGTATTGTTCCGCGAAGTCGGTCGGGACTGGGCGAACGATAGCAAATAGGTCGCTCGTTCACGGAGCGCTGGCTGCTTCGGGGCGATGTGGGTTGTTGGGGCACAATAGCTGGGGCGCATTAAACGGTATTGTTGTATAGCGACATTAGCGCCATTGTTTCACGGGCATCCCGCTGCGCAGGTGGCTGGAGGCCGTTTCGATTCCTTCATTATTTCCGTTCGAGGGAAAATAAAACTTACTATAACTTCGAGCTTTATATCCAAAGAATTTAAAGCAAAATTTAATCTTTATTTTGTCGGTTGCATCCGTTGAATGATGCAGTCATAGAAATCGCTACGCGGCTCAACACGAGATATTTACTATAACAGATTAATTATCGCGTTACATACAGGAGGAGGTATTACCTAAAAACATAACGATATAAACAACACTTTATCTTTGTTTCTCCTAGACCTTACCAATTATTATAAACAATTCCTCGTGTAATTGTCGTGTCACGAGCGCGCAAATCAATAAGCGCGCATACGCATAAAAGCCGAGGAACTATGGCTGCGAGCAAATAAAGCTGGTCGCCGTAAACTAGACTATTTATCGACTCACCGCCGCCCGTCCACAGGCACCGTGTGTGGCTTACCGTCTTACCTGCGGACAAAAAGGAAAAGCACATAAGTTTACGGGGACCAATTCAGCGGTGACATTCACTCGACACTTTTAACGTTTCTCATTTGAATTATAGAGGAGTTTAGTTTTTGTTATCTTAGATGTAGCGAGCGAGCATGTTATTCGCTGCCCATGGCCATCAGCAGCATGATACAGGTGCGTTGATGACTTTTTAGAAGGTCCTTTTTCGGTAACCACTTTTTTCCGAGCCGAATCGACTTACGGACCATCGAGAAGAGACCTTACTATCAAAGGCCGGCACACATTTAAACCCTCGTAGTGTTGAGAATGTCCACGGTCAGCGGTAATCCCTAACCACCAAGTTCTTCGTTAGCCTCTTTTTCTTTTTTTCATCATTCCATACGCTACTCTTCTATGCGGTTATTATATTTCTTAGGTCGGGCTATAGCATTCATATCATTACAAACACTGTTGCACCGTCCTACCATAGTAAAATCTATCAACGAAAAAAATTCCAAAAAAAATTGCGTGTGAATACAGAGTTTTCATTAAACTACAGTTAATACTTCTGGCTGCTACCTTAAAGAAGTCAGATATGGAACGTGAGTAACAAAGGAATGTAAACTAAATTACGATATTCTCCGAACAATATTCCGCCTCAAATAATTACCCAATTACAACCAAAATACCTAACGCTATGCCTTACAAAGAAAAGGTAAATTAAAATAAAAGACCAGCATCCCCCTAACTGCCGCCGCACCGCTACTGACGGGGAAGTCGCCATATATAGCAGAGAAATGTTCTCGCCGCATGTGCATTACGTACAATTCGACGTGTAACGATACCACCGGCCAGCTGTTCAAACACGTTGCATTCCATGCTTCAAATATGTCAAGGCTACGCGTGCATACCATAAGAAGTGTATGCATCGTCTACTGGAGTATATACGAATTGTGAAAGTCAATGTTGTTAAGCTCTAATGTCCTGCTGTATACACTATTCACTTCAATTGTCTCTCCAAGAAGAACTAAATAAATTAAGTAACACCAATTTTACATATAAAATATAAGAGTTAGCGACATCATATTCATTTACTAAGTGGAAGTATAATACTTTCGCGTTTCGTCTGGTGAGTGAGGTGGCCGCAGCCCAATTTTCAAAAGATTGTTACGGTGGTGGGGCCACGTAGCAGCCTCAGCTGTTGCATGAATGGGCAGGCTCATCCGGGTAGGTACCACGACCTCACAGAAGACCGACGTAAAGTGGAAGTATAATACTTTCGCGTTTCGTCTGGTGAGTGAGGTGGCCGGAGCCCAATTTTCAAAAAGTTGTCAACGCATCTGCAACCCTTGGGTGTAGCAGATGTCCATGGGCGGCGGTATTCACTTAATATCAGGTGAACCGTCGGCTAACTTGGCAACTTTTCACATAAAAAAAAATTACTCGTCTAAAGTTTAATCAAATATAGATTTAATACGATCTATAATATATTTTAATATATTTAGATCATATATAATATATTTTACGAGCCGTGATAGCTCAGTGTCCGGGCGCTCGCCTTTAATTCAATATACTCGAGCAACCTGAGTTCGATCCCCGGTGCCGGCACTAATGAAGTTTTTAACTTTAAGTGCTGACTTATCACGTGCTCCGCGGTGAATGAAAACATCGTGATGAAACCTGCATATTTTCGAAATAATAAAAAAAAAATCGAAGATATGTGAAGACCGCCAATCCGCAGTGGGGTCGCGTGGTGGACTGATACCCTCTGTATAGAGGAGGCCTTTGCCCAGCAGTGGGACATGTTTAGGCTGTTACTTTACTACTTTACTATAATATGTTTACAGCGATCCAAAACAGATGGCAGCTGTGTGTTCATCAAAAAGAAAATCCCGCGAGTGTTATTGCGCGTTTCACGAAATTCTGATAGGATTTCGCGCGTTAGAGTTTTAATTTAACGCTAGCTCGGCCGTAATGGAAGTTCAAGGTTCGTTACGCTCCGCGTGGCTGCGGTGCGGCTCGACGACGCCTCGACAACTAGGAACGAAGCTCTCGAGGCAACAACCCCAGCGTAGCCTGCGATAGCAACAGCATTGCATCCGTTTACAAGATATAAGCTTCGATTTCATCATCTCTTTTATAATCGTTTATTATATTTTTTTATGTGAGAAGGTGGCAAGCGAGCTGGCGGCTCATCTGATGTAAGTGACAAGCGCCGCCGATGGACATTTGCAACATCCGTAGGTTTGTAGATGCGTTACCAACTTTCAAAGTGAGCCCCGGTTATCTCACTCACCAGAAGAAAGGCAGAAATATGACACTTTCACTTCACGTCGGTCTTCTGTATGGACGTGATACTTCCTCGAACGGACCTGCCCAACCGTGAAACAGCGAAGACGAAGATTTTGTAACCCAATCGGGACATCTCACACAAAGCGTATTGAACGTGCGCGTCGGCAATAACGTCTAAACACAACCTTAACCTTCAAAATGATGTCACGCGTAACAGAGTAACCGTTACTATTACACACGGATACGGTGCACAAAGAGATGTACGCCACAAGTGTCTTCATTTACAAATTGTAATAATGCGGCAGTCCATTCAATCAAGTGGGCGCCGCGGTGAATACTCCAGAACTAGCGCATTAGACGTGTGTTGCGGGCGAAGCGAAACGTCTCGGGAGCAATCAGCGGGTCATTAAACGCCCATGCGCGGGAATAAGAAGCCTCACGCAAGGCCGAGAGCATCGATTGCGTAACGCGGAAAAACGTTACGTGGCGATTGAAGAGGCGCATCCTTCTTAAGGGTCATAAGGAACGAACATTATCTTTGAAAATACGAACACGCTTCACACATTGATGTGTGATGAACATAGTGTTTTTCCAGTGTTTGGGTGTTTATATATTTATAATATGCATCTATTTACAAAAAGAAAAGTAAACGTAAAGTTTTAGTATGTGTATCTAGTACTCATAGAACTATCGTTGCTTACTTTGGGACTAGAAAACGTTGCATAAAAATGTTTCATAAAATATGTAATTATTTATACAAACTTTTCATTGTAGGATAAGATTATTTTAAAGAGATAAAATGGCAAACGGGCTAGTGATTTACTGAGCTGATGTTCTGTTCGCGTTTTAACGTTAGTGTCCGCGCGACACGTGTGTTCTCCAGTGCGGGAGCAGTTTTTTAAAAGACAAGAAGGCGAAAGTTTTCGTTTAAACGCTTTCCTGTCGACTTTGCTTTAAATATATAAACCAAAACACAATATTAGAACCGGAACACACGGATATGCGTTGACGTAGGTAATCTCAGAGTTCGTTTTCCCAGAAGGGAATCGATCGTGTTCACTATATAAACCGTAGCAAGGACATTCGTCTACACCGATTGAGTGCGTTAATTCGCTCGCTTAAATATAATTAAACGATTCAAAGATGGAACACACTCTCGTCTGCATCCGAATAAGGTTTGTGTTACGAGGCTTCGCTAATCGATTACGCGAAGGGATCGCCATCGGCCTCGAAATCGGCACGTGAAATTTATCTTCGTTGTTCAAATAAGCTCTTTTTTCCTCGGATCCTTTACGCCTGCCGTTTCGCGACAACTTACGAAAATACGAACCCTTACGTAATACGTTCGTTTCCGTAATGGAATACGCGATACGGAATCGTGACAAAAGTGACAGATGGGTTTGGATTGCATGAAATGTTTCTTTTTTTTTAAATCTTATCGTTCACGCGTGAATAATGTGTCTTGCGGAAGAGAATCTTGTGTCACGTTAGGATATAATTCTATGAATTTACACATTTAGTCATTTTAATTGAATCTTCAAAGACAGACAATAGTTCGATTTCAATAAACTATCAGTCGGGTGTGTTTAAAATTATAAAACAAATAGGAAACATGCTGTTGCTTGTTACGCCATACAAAATTTTAAATGCACAGGATCTAATCCACCCAACTGTTTATACTATTGCAACTGATTGAGTGTTATCTGGTACGAATCCTACAACGGAGGAATCATATGGTAGGATTTCGGTCGGCGGTGAATGGGAAAAATCTATCACTATTTACAATGTGCTAACGGCGCGCAACAAAGCGTCGAGTGAAACAGCATTTATTGTTCGAGAATCAATCATCGCGGCGACGATGTTTAATTCAACAGGCGCATTCCTTGCGACGAAACGGCGGTTTGCAACGGCCGCTTGGTAAACACGGACATGTGTCGGCGTACGGTGAGTCAGGCGCGCGTGCGACTGCTGGATATGATCTATCCGATGGCGGATTAAACTGCGGAGACATTGCCGCGCCGTCGAGCGAACGGTTCTCCTTGAAAACTCTTTTCCCGTTCGAACTAACGCAGCCCCGCCTCAAAGGCAGGTCGTAGCGACGGACAATGAAGTAAACGATAATGAACAATTTCTTATGATGGCTGAAACGCATACACCTAGGTGACAAACCCGAGAAAAATAGAAACTATTGCATATATGTAGAAGAAAACTAGTATGTATTAGTTAACAATGATAGATGCTCGATGTTTAGCAAAAGTACATTAGTACACTTAGTACTTATATTAGTACACTAGTAATCAGCGTAATGAAACAACTGACGCAACTAGGCAACAAACTGAAAAAAAATCCAAATTTTGTACTAATAAATTTTTGCTGAAAAAGAATATTTCAAGCTTCAAACATAGTTTCCAAAGAATTAATTTATACAAAACTGTGTAAGGACTAACATTTGTGTGACATTTTAAAACGCACCACTAACCAAAGAGCGCCCTCAAAGCACATAAACTCCATAATCTGCACTAAACATTCGATTCTATTTGCAGACCGACATGTTTTTCCCGCCGATAAACCAGGGTTCGTCACTGAATCCACCTCAAGCGTATGGGTTGACTGGTTCCATTAGGCAATTGGTGTAGTGTCTGATCCGGCACTATGCAAACATGACTGGATATGGTGAGAGCAGTCAATTACGATCGCCACTGCGGCCGGCCGCTGCACGAGCCACCGTTTGAAAAGTCGCGCTTGGCACCCGGCAACTTGTGCGATGCGGCGGGCAATCGCCGTCCATACAAGTTCACGTTGCCAATGTTACGTCAAGACGGAAAATAACGTTTCGATTAATCATAAGCTTACATCATTTTCGATGGCGCAACGTAGCGTTTTATTATTTCATCACGACTGATAGAACGTTTCGTACTGTCAACGCTTTAAATGTTAAGCTTAATAATAAAAATAATAATAATAATAAAATATCTTTATTCACATAGACGCTTGCGCGTTCTTATGAAACGTCAAAATTTTACAAGAAATTAACACGTTCGTAAGTTACCACCGGTTCGGAAAGCAGTTTCTGTTGAGAAGAAACCGGCAAGAAACTCAACAGTTGCTCTTTTTAAAAAAAAATCAGTTTACAATATAATAGTACATGCACAATAGTCTTGTTTTAGCCTACGTGAGTATCAACAGTATTAACCCCACACATTGGCGTCGTCAAGATATTCAGCAATAGAATAATAGGCTTTAGCCATACGTTTACTTTTAATTTTTCGTTTAAATTCATCAAGTGGCAGACTTAATATCGACTGTGGGATTTTATTATACATGCGCACACCTTGCCCCATGAACGACCTGTTTACTTTTTGTAAACGAAACAATGGCGTAGTTAGTTTGTCCTTATTTCTAGTATTTAGTTTATGTCTGTCACTATTCTTTAGATAACTATTAATATTATTTTTAACAAACAAAATATTACAATAAATATATTGAGACGCAACAGTGAGTATATTAATCTCTTTAAAAAGGTCTCTGAGTGTATTCCGGGCTCCGATGTTATAGATTGCTCGGACAGCTCTTTTTTGAAGAATAAATATAGAATTTATATCAGATGCACTACCCCACAACAAAATGCCGTAAGACAAGATGCTGTGGAAATAACTGAAATAAACAAGTCTGGCAGTGTCGATGTCTGATAGCTGCCTAACCTTCCTAACTGCAAAAACAGCGGAGCTTAACCTGTTCGCAAGAGATGATAGATGGGGACTCCATTGGAGCTTTGAATCCACTGTAATTCCCAAGAATACAGCGGACTCAACAGGATTAAGGGTTACGCTATTTAATGTTAAGCTAAAACTTCGCCTTCTTACGCTGGGAAGGGTAAAAAGAAGGCATTTAGTTTTTTTAGCATTTAACACCATATTATTAACGGTAAACCAGTGGAGGATACGCGAAAGTGCACTATTCACGTCGTCATAATCCGACACGTTTCGGTCAACCTTAAAAATGAGCGATGTGTCGTCAGCAAACAGTACAATATCACATAACTCACTGGCATAAATGGGGAGATCATTTATATACACTAAGAATAATAATGGACCCAAGATTGATCCTTGTGGGACACCCATTTTCATGGGGGACCCTGTGGAATTTACATCATTTATAGATACTTTTTGAATTCTATTATTACGGTAAGAGGCAATGAGATTGAGGGCGATGTCACGAATGCCATAATAATCTAACTTTTGAAGGAGGGTTTCGTGGTCTACACAGTCGAAAGCCTTTGAAAGGTCGCAAAAGACACCTATTGCATCTTGTGACCTTTCCCAGGCGTTATAAATATGCTTGACAAGTGCGACACCCGCATCCGTTGTCGATCTGCCTTTAGTGAATCCATATTGCTCATTGTGGAAAATTTTGTTCATACTAAAATGTACTAAGAGGTGATTTAAAATTAGTTTTTCAAAAATTTTACTCAGAGATGGCAATATGGAGATAGGTCTGTAATTTCCTGGATCATTTTTATCCCCACTTTTGAAAACGGGGATTATCTTACTGAATTTCATAAGATCTGGAAATATTCCAGAATCTATACATTTGTTAAAAATATTTGCCAAATATGGTGCAATATACGGCATTATTGTACTCATTAATTTTATGGACATGCCCCACAAATCTCCTGTATTTTTAAGATTAATAGAATTCAAAACTTTTGTAATATCATTAGTATCTATGTGATTAAATTTAAACGTTTGTCGACAATAGGTAACATTATTTTTTAATACATTAATTGCATCAATGGGAGAGGATTTTAACGTGCATGTAACATTAATTGCAATTTCTGAAAAATAACTTTCAAAACTACTTGCAATTTCGTTATCTGAAGTTATGGGTGTATTGCCTATCACTAGCTTTATTGGTTCCCTGAATATCTTGGGTCTTCCAGATATGCAGGTAATGATGTCCCATGTAGCTTTTATTTTATTACTAGAATTTAAAATCCTATTTCTTATGTAGATAGATTTTGCATGTATACAGACTTTTTTAAATATTTTTGAAAAATTTTGTACCCGTTTATGGAAATTAGGGTCGTGATTCCACTGCCTCATATTATATAATTCATACAGTGAATCCCTACTTTTATATATACCCACTGTTGCCCAGTCACTAAATTTTAATTTTGATTTTTTAACAATTGTGCGGGGTTTAAAAATATGATTATAGGAAGTTATGAGAAAATCAACCATTGATCTATAACAATCATTAGGGTTATTGATTCCGATATCTTTATGGAATACATGCTGTGCTACTTTATCTTTAAAAGAATTTAGTCTCCTAGCAGTGACTGGTCTACACCTGATCTTAATTTCACTTGTAGTAATGTTTTCATTTATTGAAAATTTTAAACCAAGATGATCAGAGCTCAGATAATTTATAATAGATTTGTCATATACTTCATTGTGACAGAAAACGTTATCGATACATGTGGAGGATAAGTTAGTAACACGAGTTGGTTCATAAAAAAGATTTTTAAGTTTGAATGAATTAAATAAATTTAAAAGCCGCTTACTAAGTTGTGTTACTTGTAATAAATCCACATTAAAATCTCCACAAACTATGACTGATTTACTAGTTAAACACAGTTTCTTAAGGACATCATCCATGACACACTCAAACTGGTCGAAATCACCGGAGGGGGGTCGATACACGCATACTATAATATACTGTTGACTCTCAACGCAGGATAATTCTATAGAACGTTCGACAGAGAGTGCCATTATATCCTGTCGATTTTTACAGACTATATCATTTCTAACTAACACAAGAGAGCCACCGCGTATAGCATTTACTCTTACGAACGAACTTAACATTTTATAATTCTCTATATTTACAATATTACAATTCTTATGTAACCATGTCTCTGTGAAGCAGATGACATGAACATTAAATTTCCTAAGGAACAGTTCTATTTCAGGTTCTTTGCCACCCAAACCTTGTATATTTTGATGTACAATATTTAATTTCTGTGGCCTAGGTGTTGTCTCAAAGCGATAATAATGCGAATCAAGGTCTGGTTGTAAACTAAATTACTTATGAGTAACTTTCACCCAAGCTTCGGTCACTCAATTTAAATGGATATTGTAAGTCAAGATCTACGAGATGGTTTGTTTTGCTTTTAATATCGAAATCGCGCAAGGTCTCTCGGTCAGTCTGAATATGACAACTACAAACTACGACTAAATGACAAGAAACTCTTGTACCGACATTGCGTGGTAACATCGCACGCACAATCTCGCGACGCGCGAAAGTGATTCGTGATCTGCCGATCTCGGGGCATAAACGCATAATTTATCATTCGTCATTAGCATTTACGCAATAAATTACAAATCGAACGCATCTCCAATCGATCACTCGTAACGTAGTTCTGTGACATAATGCTATGTATACGATTGAATAACGCATGAGTCTGTTGAATTTTTATTTAAACGTAGCAATCCAAATAAATATAAAGGCTTTGCCATTACATTTTACTAGCGTGAAAAAAAATGTTTAAATAGTATCTATTACATTACTCTTTATGTGATATGGTGGCTTGCGGTGTAATGGTGCTACTGTAAGTGGGCTCCGGCTACCTCCCTCATCAGAAGAAACGCTCAAGTATTATACTTTCACTTTACGCCGGTCTTCTGTCAGGTCGTAGTACTTACCCGGACGAGCCTGCCCATTCGTGCAACAGCCGAGGCTGCTGCGTGGCCCTACCACCGTAAAACATTGTTGACATTTTTTACTTTAGTTAACAAAGTACAGTTCATACAACATTTGAATATTCTAAGGGCATCATCAGCATCAAACTATATAAATTTATAAGGAACAAAGTCAGATAACAAACGTTACAATATTCATTGCACATGCAGCAATGGATTACAACATTAATGCACCCGATTAAATTCATCCACGAGCGGTCTAATTAATTCTAATGTACAAACAAGGTTGAGCAAAGAGACAAATAGTCATGGCAGCAGATATAGAATAATTTAAATACAAAGTACTCAATAAACATGTTCTGACAGACCTTATTGTCGTATACTGCGGGTAAAAACATATATTTTGTATATTCTAACGTCGCCGTGGTCGTTTTTTGCACTATCCTTGATGATGTAAGACACCTTTGAAGTAGAGTTAATAATATAATATACGGAAATGTTATAACTATGGCGTAGATCAATCGAAGTGTTCTATCAAAATAATTTTAATAGAAAACTATCATACCTACTGTAGATAAGAACCTCACCAAAAGATAGATAAACCTTAGTCGACTGAAGAACTAACTACTTCATACTTTTATCCAATCACACGGAATCGTTATATAAATCCTGTTACGACCCAATAATCAGGTAATGTACGTAATCGTACGGCTGTAGGACTGATTAACTAATTATATTATAATGATAGAATACGAGTTGGTTCAATCACGAAGGAAGGTATCGTATAAAAAGTAGACAAAGTATTGAAGTTACATTGAAACAATGGCCACAGCTCAACTAACAGCTGACAAGAGGCAAAGGAGTTTAATCCCCAATAAGTTGGCTTGTTTGACATACTAACGGCTACGTGCCCGAGATTAAAATTAAAACGAATCCGCCTTTATCAAAATGTTCTCACTATACAACTGGAAACAATGGCCCTGGTCATCACTAAATGCTCAGTGGTATAGGATAACATAGAAAACAGAGGAAACCTTCAAAGGTAGTAAGTATACATATTTCGAATGTATTTAATACTGCAATCATTCGCACTGACTCGATGTCTAAGCTATTGGCTTCGTTCGTGGGTTCGACACCCTCACAGGGCAAGTATTTTGACCCACGGATAACTGTTCCGTATTTGAGTGTATGTTTCTGAGAAGTGTTGACGTCAGGCAGGTGGCCAATCATAAACATGAGTAGGATAAGGTAGGGAAGAAAGAAAGAATCCGCAAAGAAGCCACGTGGTGAACTTATCACACTCTGAACAATGGAGGCTTTTATTCACATGCATGTTCAGTTGCGAACGGAACAAATTCACGATCGATAAACGATATTGGAAAAAAGAAGATATTAATGGAAATCGATTCGGTTAACTTTTGTATTCGAATTTAATTTTCGTCGCGAGGGCTGAGCAAAACCCACCGCCGCGGATCGATTCGCTTCGCTCGATGTCGCGAAGAGTGCGCTTCGATTAAACATCGATTACCGGCAGCGACACCGCGATTAGGGCTTGCAAACGACTCTCGGCCGAAGCGCGCCTCTAATAACGGCAATTGTGCTATCGTCTAAGGTGTAATGATCGTCATTACGCTCACGATACAGTCAATCGGCTCAACTATACCTTATTCGAAGTAGGTCCTCAGATGGATGCATCATGTTTTATTAGCAAGAAGGAATCCAGCTTGTTATTTATGCCGATGACCTACTCACGGTTGTCCTTTTCACCAGGATGTCTTATTTGCACTTTGACCTTTACAGCAAATTTGGAATTTGCGTCGATGTTCAAGAGCCATATCTTGTGTACAAAATAAATCGCGATCGAATACATTGTCTTAAGAGGATACTCATTAATGCAGTTCGACACAACGAAGACATTTCGTAAATGTCTTCGTGCCGTCGCACGGTGGCGTTGAATGAATACAATGGTATATAGTAAGCTGTGGTTCGGATATCTTTATAACTTAAAAAACATATTTCAAGCCATCGAGGGCAACAAGGCAAGGTTCTCATAACTTCATTTGTTCACAACGGTACGGGTAAAGAGCGGGACAGCATTATGATTAACAACGGAGGTTGAAAGTCGCTTGAGACGTATGAGACGGATATCGGAGGGACAAGGGGGCGTCACTAGCGGTGAGAATAAATCGAGAGACGTCCATGCGCCATCGCTTAATGACCGCCTAACGACCTCCCCGCCATGTGTGCGTGCGGGTGGGTTTCTGGGTCACGCGTCGTCGGTTTTTGCGTTACTTTAAAAACGTGTCAAAGTCAATTTCTTTTGGAGCACTCAATTTGAATAATGATCACTTGCGCGCAAGTGGGGCGTGCAAAATATACAGATGACGCTTATTGCTAACGACCATAACAACAATACATGTCTATAAAAGTATCTTCTACAGTACAGTGAGGAAGCCCACATTCCCTAAATATGGACTTAATAAAATATGTAAGCTTTCCTATAATAAAGAACGAACGTAAAGTAAATTAATACTCATGATTCTTACAAGCAGATTCTTAATGCATTATTGATACACATGAACTAATCCATGCAATTACATAATTAACAAGTATCCAGACCATTTTGTCTGGATGATTGTTGCAGTTTTATTTATCTTACTTTTTATACACTTATTTTTTTCTGTAACTGGATTTTGACAAATAAACGATTTATTATTATAATTTAAAAAACGGGAAGCCCACAGTCTCTTTCAGTTAGTCAGAATCGATCCAACTTCTTCTCCTTATAATGGACTATGTTCTGCTATCCAGAGATTATTTAAGGCTTCGTCGATCGCACAATCTATGGAAGCGCAGTGGCGAATCGATAGAGCAGTGATTGCGCCGTTACATTATAATTTAGCATTTCGTCTATTGAGAGAGTTAAACAAATCACGCCACATCATGATTGGCAATTAAGTAAGTGGTACTTACCACGGCAGCAATAATCACAACATCAAGAGAATCAGTCGGTTTGCCAACCATAGAAAAATAACAAAATAAAAAAAAATAGCCATTCCATGCTATTTTATCTCCGAGAGCCTCTCTAAAGGAACGCACAAAGCAAAGGATTTATCACATAGTCATAATCCGCCATCGGATAATTGCGGCTGTGTAAGGAACGGCAGCGGCGCGTGTCGGCGCCGACGCACCTCGTACTAAGAGAATCGTGAATTATCGGCTCATTTGCGAATACGCGATTAAGCGATCAGCGGTCGCTTAATGCTCAATTAACTCATACAGTAGATACATAAGACCATCGCACGAAGGTACTTATAAAAGCGTAAAGTACACCAATATCAGTTTCGAGTTCGTGAACGCTTAAAGTGCTTCTCTTCTGATTAATATATTGAAAGGTTTCCCAAACCAACGTAGACGAATAGGCTTAACAAAATCGTGATACAAATGTACACTTAATAGTATAAGGTTAATTAATACTGGATAAGTATTAAAACTAAACAGTAAAAGAATGTCGTAAAAAAACAATTTTATTTTGAGGTTTTAATTTATAGTGCTATTAAACTTTTTCATGAACGTAAAATTTTAAGAAAAAATTGACGAAAAAAAATTCCGCCGCTGCGGGGAGGCACCTGTTCGGGTTCGTTCATTTTTTCTACAAATTTTAAGTTTTACCTTAAGTACAGACATTAGCACTGGAAAAAGAAATCATGAATATCTCATGAAATCAATTATATATTTAAATATCTATCTGGGAATGCGAACACGAAACAATCTTTGTAATACCGCTCTACTGGCATCCGATCGCGGGGAACGCATTCGACGGGCGCGTCGTCGACCCGCAACAATGTCGCTTAATTGAACCGTGCGTTCATACTCGGAGCTATCTTATCGCCGGGCTTTCCTCGTTTTTCTCGCTAGTAGCCTGTCCGACGATAACAATGTACGACAGGTGGCCTAATTAAATTTATTCGAACGCTGTCGCTGGCCTCTTACTACACGAGTTCGCTCTTTTGCTTGTTGGGGGCAAAAAAGCAGTTTCTTTATTGGCGATACTAGAGTAGATAGGCGCTTCTCGGATGTGTATGTCTTGGTTTTTATGCCGACGCCTGTCTTCAATTGAACGAGACTATTATATAGAAATTTCTGCTCATATCGAATGAGTTAACGACGTTGACCTGTTCGATAACGGTTAGGAAAACAACGAATAAATGTGATCGCGATGTTTCTAATTGAGTATAATAAAGTATTGCTGCAAATAGTTTCCACAGACATGCATCAGATTGACATTTAATCCATATTCTCGTTACAGACAACCCCAAAACATAAAATAAATAATAAGCAAAGCGCAACTTAAAATACAAAAGCATAGTCTTAAACTAAAGTAACTTACAAGAGTTTCCTCCAAGTTTTTAACAAACGCAAGCTTAATAATTCGCTCAGAGCGCCCAAGATTGCAGCTGGGTGCGTAACGTTCTTATGTATTATAAACAACGAGAACAGGATGCGAACCCGAGCGCATTACCATTAATCAAATGAAGGGCCCGGATCCATCATTAGTCTTTACGGCTACCATAAACGTTTCGACGTAGAGCGCGTCGGTTATGTGGAGCGTGCGACCGTAGACGCGCCGCATAAGGCCCTGACGGTCGTGCTGCGTCCATTAGCCGCGGACCCGCTTGGCTAGCATTGGTCAAAGGGGGCGAGGCGGTATCAGGATATGCGACCAACAGCCGCAAATAACGAGGCGCGGAGTACGCGAGGAATGAATTAGTAAACACCAAGATATTGGAATGGAACGCTCGCCGTTCCCCCGATAGGAGCAGCCGTGGCAAGTTTGAGAATTGGATCATGTTCGCGATGTTACTGTTCACTTCCATGGTTCACCTGATGTTGGATGTTGTGCACCCGTGGGGTGTCCGGGAAAGAATAGCACCCATCCATTTCATCCCGAGGGTGTCGTAGGAGGCGACTAAGGGAAAAATCCGGAAGGTGGGCAGCAAGCGTGGGGATTAAGGCAACCCCCCTCCCCCCAATGACAGATGTTTAGTGATAAACATCGCCAATAGACAATTGCAATACCCAATGTAAGTTACGAATACGTTGCCACCTTTCAATAAAGTGGGCCCCGGCTACCTCACCCACCAGACGAAACGCAGAAGTGTAACACTTCCACTTCAAGTCGGTCTTCCGAGAGGTCTTTTTTTTAAGTGAAAAGTTGTCAAGCGAGCAGACGGTTCACCTGATGTTAAGTGAATACCGCCGCCCATAGACATCTGCTACATCCGAGGGTTGCAGATGCGTTGACAATCTTTTGAAAATTGGGCTCCGACTCACCAGACGAAACGCGAAAGTATTATACTTCCAATTTACGCCGGCCTTCTGTGAAGTCGTTGCACTTAACCGGACGGGCCTGCCCATTCGTGCAACAGCGAGGACTGCTACGTTCTACCAAAATAGCTGGGCTTGGCAAAATCTAAATTAATATAGCAAGTATTCAATTGTAGTTTGTTAGCACTGCACATTTATGTAGGTAGATACAAACCCACCTATATAAGCTTCACATACAATGCAACCGTTGAACTAACAATTCATGTTAACTTGGATTAGTTGAACGAAGAACCCCGACGGATCCTATCGCGGACCTGATGGATACAACCTGGCGAGATAAGCGATGGTGCGCAATAGGTTGGAATAATTCCACAAGTCGGTCACGTTCCCAATGGAGGAAGCCACCGCCATTAGCGACCATTACGGAGCTCGACGACAACTAGGCAAGGTTGCTTCTTATACGGATCTTTCTATAATTTCCAAGGAATCGGAATGTAAAATGGTACGCGTAGATCGGTCACGCATAGAGGTTTCCACTTTTAAAGAATACCTTAAGAATACCCTCTAGGCGTCCATAAAGATAGATAATGTCCAATTTTTTCCACAGCTCATTAGGGTGAAGACTTGCCGCCGTATATCAGTAGCAGACACATGCATACGTCAGATTGTGGTATTGCGCCTTAGCTTTTTACCATGACGGAAAGTTATGTATGGCACACCTAAATAGATTTCATTCCTAGGCAGTCTGTCACTCATGCACCTTTTTTGAAAACTCCACTCATGGCCTAAAATTACTACGCCAACCGGAGCTATCAGACGTGTATCCAAAATACAAGTTTGATACTCGACTCGGTACAATCTGATTATAGTCTATGAAGGATAATGCATAAATCTACAATGCAACATTTTGTCATGTACATGTATCTGAAACAATAATTTTTCTGAACCTAAGTTCGTGTCGGAACTGGCATTATGTACGATTTCCCGTTCGTGCATTATCAAGTACTTCAGTACTAAGATTCAGTGTCAAAAAGCGAAAACATAGCATAATAAATAAATAGAAGAAATACGTAACCATTATTTCAGTTGTGTAAAATTAAATCATGTCAATTTACTGAAGTTTAGTTGAAATCAGGCAAAAAGTATGAGTTAATTGCGACATATTGGCATGGACAATGCCTATATCTTCTTTTGTAAAAGAATTAAAGGTCATCTTACAGTGTCACCTATCAAAACAATAATTAGCGATTGTTATGATATTCAATTTGATTGCGTGAAGGTGAAACTTTGTCATATTTTAATTACTTAAGCTGTACGAGACCTTGCTGGCCGGACCTTCACCCCAATGAATAAAAAATACCAAATGTCAACTACAAATAAAGTTATTTAAACGCCATATTGGAATAATAAATTGTCTAACGATACATTTTAATGTTAAAATCGTGACCCAGTTAGCATATCAGCTTTTATGATAATTTGTCATTATTTCTCATTTGAAACAATTTATTTCAAATCAGAAATGGTTTGTTTTTAATCTGCTTGAAATCGCTTTTAAATATCAAGATCCTTGAAATTAACGAAGTTTGTCACGAGGTAACGAATTATTATTGTCGCGAAGGTAATCTGTTATTGATTCAAACTTTAATTAAAGCTAGCCGTCATTGCACGTAGTAGTACTTTAATTTTGAAAATGATGGGCATATTAAATAAAACATACTTCTCGTATTTGCGCGAATATTAAATATTATCAAATAAATATTAAAGATTTTACATTCCGTGACCATGATCAATAAAATAAACACTTGATATAAATAAGTACGTGTGTAATTGATATTTATTAATGTGAGCATTTGATTTGGATTATTTGAAAGGTCTGAATATGTAATAGTAGAAAATGTTAAGTAACCATTAAGAATGTAATATACTGTAAATCATGATGAAAATTGCTTATATATTGATTGGCTCGTAACTTGTGCCCTACATTGAACTTTACGGCGAATTAACGAAGACATCATCCGAAAAGTTAAGTGAATCGAAATTAAATGTCATTTAAGAATCGATTATTTCTGATCCAGACATCCGATGCCCGAACGGGCCCATTTGCATACGCGGAAACGGAATTTTAATCGACCTAGTGTCGTATTAATTTCCCCTTTAAACATTCAATCGTGCTGTGCCCTATAATTTTTCGATTAACCCTCGACTCGTAGGTACGTAGCCTTTCATAAATTGAATACGCTCAATGAGAAAGCTTTAATGATGCAGGTTTATCATTGGGAAGTCATTCTTATGGTTTACGGCAGGTCATTCGGCGGGTCTTACGAACTGACTTTTGTCGTGTCGCATTTTTTTTTTTTTAAGAAAACATGTTGACATTTACATTAAAAGGTTCGTAGACGATAACTTAAATATGGAAACTGAAAAACTGTTCAGTAGTGAATGTTTCCTTCTAAAATGGTATTTTTTTAACTGTGGTAAGGCCTACCAGATAGCCCCGTTCGATAGCATAATTAATAATAAGACCCTGTGAATTTTCCATAAGAACCACTGAAATAGGTGCTGGTTAGGTTGCGTTACAATCGGTACGACATTTGGCGGGCGGCTCTCGTGACTGCGAAATGACAAGTCGTGGCATTCTCAGCGCATTTTTCACCTCTTACGGTGGAGTCGTGATCGGTAACGACCGCGGCGGGAGGGCCCCCGCCCACACGGGCCGATGTGCCGCAATCATTGCAAACACAATAATGATATAAATACGGTTTTACATGTGAGTGAGTGTGTATTATGCGTGTTAACATATAAAACTCCCACCCTGCCAACCCTCTAAATAATATGGTAAATAACCAATTTTCAACTTCCTCTCGCGATTGCTCAGCTGGCGGTTCACCTGACGTTAAGCGATAACCGCCGTCCATGGATCCATGGCATTCGCAACACTACGGGTGTTGCCACGTTATAATAAAGTGGGCCCCAGCTACCTCATTCACCAGACATAAAGTGGAGGTGAACCGTCTGCTCGCTTGGCAACTTTTCACATAAAAAAAAACAAAGACAAAGATGTATGTAACACATCCACTTCACGCCGGTCTTCTGATAGGTCGTGTTACTTCCCCGGACCTGCCCATTATTCGCAGAACAGCGAAGACTGCTGCGTGGCCCTACCACAGTCAAAATATACTTTTTTCGCTTCTCCGACACTTTAAACGTGGTAGGACTACGTGCAATAAATGGTTTTCGTGGCTATCAAAACAAGAACTAAGGTCTTTATTAAGCTAGTACCTACGCGTTTATTAACTTAATCGAAACGTTTTGTTCTTTGCACATATAAGCTGCCTCGCGTTAATTAACTCTACAGCACGGAGCTTGCAACAAATCAAGATTAAGTTGCAATACACAATTTCAATGGGGCCGGCATATAATATATATAAACTGAGCCTGATCGAGTTGCTTTAACAGCACAACGTATCGCGAGTAATTAATCAGTAATCACCCGGATGATTTACAGAGAATCGAATTAAAGAATTAGTACGCCGAAAGGCAAATGGAAAATGCCGAAGCGACGTCCGACATACAACAAGCGAGAAACGTTGCCGAAATCGATGCCATTAAACATAATTTAACAAATTGACTTCGTTTCTTCTTATTCCGTTCTGAGATCGGCGATGGACTGAAACGATCGGTAATCAACGACTTTAATTAGACACAATAAGGCTATGCGCTCCCATACAGTGAAACATATTCCCGTCCATAAATAGTCGGATGCGACTCGATTTCGATCCGTTAAGTTATATTGACGAACGCATAGCAAAGGTTCAAAGCAATGGACTGCTGATGACCGAGTTTTGGGTTTAACTTTCAGCCTGACTGCAGCCACAATGCAGCTGCAGCTTCAATTGGAAAAATTACAGGAATGACGCTAAACCAACCATAAATAAAATGTATATACGTGGTAAACTGTTCTCTAAGCAACTAGAGAAGGACCCTAAACAAATTACCACGTTTAACGGAGCGGCATCAATCATAAAATTCGGGCTTGTTTAAAGCTCTTTTGAACGTTGAATACCAGAACCGCTTCGTCGAATTAGACCAGTGAAATGAAGAATATGCGATAAATCGCTGCTTCGCCGCAGCGACAGGCGCACGGTTTATCGGATGTTTTCGCTTTCGCTATTAAGTAAGGCTTCATCGGTCTCGGGGCCAGCACAGCGCAAACCTTCGCGTAGCGCCGCGAGTGCAAGTGATTTATCCCGGGCGAGCGTTGTTATTGCTCGCGGCCGGCTCCCCGGCGCAGACACAACAAAGGCGCGATTGTTGCACCGCGGCCAACAATACAGCACGGCGCGGCGCCCGGCGGGGGCAGCGACTCGATTTATAGCCACCGGGGCTGCCGACGAAATATTGAAAGCTCACGACCACCAGATGTACCAACGCTTGCAATTCTAGAACAATCGACGAGTCGGAATGAATCCGATCGCATATACACTCGACTATGCAATTCTAGAACAATCGACGAGTTAGAGGTTAACCGTTTGAATCGGATTGCGCATTCAGCGTGTACGATCGATAAATTAAATGTCGCGGGGCGAGGAGTCGAGTGTAAACAACGGATTTGCACGTTGATCGAAGGCCTCCAGCGCTCTAGTTATATGTCTAGCGCTCGAATAGGGCATAAAAATGCGACACAGCGCGGTGGGCGGATGGCAGCGAGGGTTAACGCATGAGTCAGTCCAACTTGGCAATGGGCACACGCGACGCGTTGGTGCGTCCCGTTATGGATTATAATTTAACGCACGTACCTTATCCACCAATGTATAAAGGCGAACTTTAAAATGTATAAGTTATACTGAAATATACGCCAGCCGCCGGTGCGTTTTTGCTCAAAAGGCGATTCGCAGAGGGCGGAATTTAAGGTTTGTTTATATTGAGAATAAACTTACTAGTAAACGTTTGTGGCAAGATAGTCTACCACACAAACTGAGATAATGAAATGTCACGGTGAACATATATTACATAAAACTCGAACTCTTATCCGCCTACCCACACGTATAACTACTTCAAACGTTTATTCATTCAATTATGAGACTAAAAATATTTACCTATGAAAAATCACGTGTATAGAAGGAACATTCTCCCCTACTTCCGGCCGTAGTTTTAAAAAGCGAAACGTTTACCTCGCGTTCTATAAATAAGTGACATTCGTATCATTTCAGCTTGGAATAGAACCAAACGTGGGGCACTCGTACGCGGCGAGAAATAAAACGAGACGAATTCACGTTCGAGCTTTCGCGTTACCGCGCCAGCGGTATACGTTTAAAACGCTGCCGTGTCGCTGCTGTCCGTACAAGACGCGCGCTCGCAATAAACACCCATTCAGAGGGCCACTTACAACTGAATTACGCGAAAAAAAGGAGCATAACGTCCGCGATTAAGGTACGCGGGCGAAACGGACGCGTAATGAGCGCCTAATTGCAATGAAACTGGCCTATTCAGACATAGCGCGATGGAAAACATTCTGTTATGCACAGCGCTGCGATACGTTGAATGGGACGCGCTACAAAATCACATGCGAGATCGGCGACATCGCTTAGAATTTGCGCTCGTCTTGATGCAAACTTAATTCAAATGGCTGCGTAATACGGTACGATGTGCCATTTGTAGACCTTGTGGGAGGGACGTTAGGCCCCGTCCATAGATTTGTATTTATGCGGGCTGTTATGACCGAAATACATGTAATCTGATCGCAAAATACGCCATCGTACATATATTATAACGGTCAAAACAAGGTAAAATGAATTGAAAGAAAGAATTAGAGACAACCACTGCTAGACTTCAAGATTAAAATTATTCCTTCGTAGTTGGGACACAGAATTAATATCTCATATCACTCAACCCGAGTAGAATGTCTAACAAAAAAATAGTTTAATTTAATAATCTTTAGTTTTCGCGTAAATACAATGAATAAGGTTTAGAGGTTGTTAAGATTAGAAAAACTTAAATAAATGATAAAAACATAAAAATGTAATAACGTAACAACGATACTTTAATTTGGCTTGTTAAAATTGTTACATTTTATCACACGTTGCACGGCGTTAATTGTTCCGTAACGGATCTAAAAACTGTGTTGCATCGGAGCCGCAAGCATAGCCCATAATACGTGCGTATGAGGGTGTAGCAGCCATTCAGAGATGGCACGGCCGTCTAAGGCACGAGCACTCCAATCGACGCGTTCTTCGGGCGTCGTGTGAAAACAAACGAAACGTGTCTACTTGTCTAGACGCGACACAAGCGTCAGGGGATTTTAATGATCCCAGCCGGGTATGGGTGCGGAGTGACGCCTGACATCGCAAAGAACACTAACTCTACATTACATACACTAACACTATATCTACATTCGGCTATGTCTCGTGTTTGCAACGCGCTTGCTGCGCACATGTATTACTTGGTTTTTTCTATTGCTTCCAATAAAGAAATGTGTTAAAGTATAGTTCAGAAAGTTCACTACTTGTCGCTAATGTATACATAATTAGCAATTTTTGTATTATGAGCAAGGGATTTTAATCAGGATATGGTTTCGTTATAGACAAAAGCCAAGAGAAAATCCCCCATTCTTCGTTCATTGTGTCTCTGTTTATTAGCATCTCGGTGAGCTGAACGTGCGGAGACCTAAATCCAGTAAGGCGTATATATAATTCAGACATTCACCGTGAAGGCGCCGGTGGAACAATATAGAACGTTGCTATTGAACGTTGTTAATCAACGCAAAATAAACAGCGAGCCATTAAAGGCGCCTTCCGCAAATCGTCGACTGCGCTCATTGTTGGCACTAAACCTTAAGACTAAATTATTCAGACAAAAGTCAAGATCGTAATAATACACACAAACGACCAGAATTTTAAAGATGCGTCTTTTCATAACCAATTAACAGAAGTGTGATATTAATTATTTAAAATAAACTACCTACAATAAGCACAAAGTTAAACGTTATTGGAGACCTTTGTAATAAGTTATGAATAACCTTTTGGCTTCTTTGAAAATTAAACTAAAACACAAAAAGCATGTCAAGATTGACAATCACAGACATCTGTTACAATGTTGGTAGGATAACACCGCGACCCAAATCTCGTATCTCAGAACGATGGAAAGGTGCAGCCAAGCGTTTCGTCGTCAGAATACGCGATCCGAATACGGCCTCGCGTCTCCGTGACCGTTCGGTAATACCTCAAAGGACTAGTTTACCGTTCCAAGGGTACGTACGAACGCGAAATACGTGCTCCGTGTAACAACGGCCGCTCGGGATCGTGTAGGCTGCTAGTTCAGCAAAAATTGCTTAGCTTCGCGCCGTTCCCGCGTCGCTGAGCGCAGCGCAGGGCTTTGCGCAACGTCGGCTTGTTTTACATAGATAAAAAGAGACGACTCCGATATGGGCGGTGGGTGAATTGAATTTTTATTGTCTGCACGCGAGCGGCATAGGTGCGGCGGGGCCGTGAAACGTTCGCCGTCGGTACAGTTAGGAATCTGATACGACTGCCCGAGTGTTTACAACTTCTGCGCCTCGAAGCCCGTGTCGTGTGCTGCAGAGACATCCGTGGTTATACAATGTATCAACTGAATGTGAAATGAACTGAACGAGTATGGGAAATATAGGTTTTGGCACCTAACGGGGAGACTTGATAAAGCCTGCATATAGAGGTGGGTCTTCGAAATTTAAATTCAAATTTCAATTTCAAATTCAAATTTAAATTAATAACGATACATTTTGCTTTTGCACCTCCAAACGATATGAGTTATATAAATTACCTTCCTCGTACACTTTGTATGAGGAAGGTAATTTATTTACTGTGTTACAGATTAAAGACTAATGAAGTGATAAAAGTGTAAAGTAGAAATACTTCTTAATACTGTTGAAATTCATTTCGCGAATGTGAGGTAATCCCCAAATGAACTATAGAATAAGAAAACTGAACGGCTCACTCTCTTAAGGGTGGTTGACAAAACTTCTGGAGCCACGCATATATTGAGGATAAAATGTGCGGCGGTAGTCATTGCTATCAGGTAGACCTGGTGCCATCGTCCATTAAATTTTTATTCAACCAAAACGGAGCCTTTTCGCACATATCACGGAAGTCGACCGGCGCTCGCTCTTAAAAAGTGTTTCAAATCACGTCGATACACGGCCTCCCGACAGTAGCCGACCGCGCCCACGCGAAATTAAAGCGGCAACACAATTATCGCGACGCATTAGCATCTAGGCGGCCTCAGAACCGTGAGCCGAAGACGGAGGCGGCCGCCGCGGCGCGAACTGATTTATGCACCTTGTCGGGCGGCGACGCAACAACACGATTAATTGTCGACGGCGCCCGCTCGTGTGACGTCACAATGCATCGCTCGATTGATTGCGCCGCTCACGCAACGTGTTATGGTAAAACGCGGGCCCCGTTAGAGCCTGTCCACACGACGCGCTGCGTCGACGAAGCGCTGTCGCAGCGTCGTTTCACATACCACGTACACACAGCTGACTGTAGCCACCGAGACGAGAAGAGGTGTATTCATTGCGATGCTGGGGCGGCTGCGCTCTGTTGTTTTGTGTGTTGATACGGAGAAAAAGGCTGTCTATAACTGTTTCATAATGAAACTGTAGAACAGATCCAACACAGTTTTTTTTGATATTACATCGATTTCGACTGTAGAGTAGTGATAGCGGCGTGTTTTCCGTTTCATTTTCCAAAACTTTTGCGTAGCGACGACTCAAAGCGTCGTGTGGACAGGCCCTTAGAGCCGCTAAACATCATCGATATGTGGCACGGTGATTCGGGAAACAATATTTGATTGGGCACACACGGCCGCCGAGGGGATCTCAAATAAACTCGAACGGTTCACCCGTCGAAACGTATTAACGTACGATGTTTATCCTCTCGAAAGGGCGGGTGTGACCCCTTCGAGGATGAATAACCATTCGATGCGCATCGGCGGTCAATAATAGCCCCGAGCCGGGCGCCACTGGTGCGCCGCCTGAAATTAGTCACGTGCCTCATAAAGCGCTTCCATCTATTTATCGTCTAATACGACAGCCCTATGTTTGTATTTCACGATTCGTCTGGCGCAATAATTTTCACACGATCGGCGAACGCTCCCCTTTGACCGGCCGGTGGGGGAACGCAATGAATGTTTCGGCGCTGAATACAAATTATGATGATCACGGCATATGCATTAAAAATCTCTTTCACAATTTTGGTCCCTCGAGAAATTCACGCACCTGTGAAAGTGTATTTAATCCACATATGACAAAGTCTCGCGGCAAATTCGCATATACGAGAGTAATGTAAAACACGAAAAACATAAATGGATGACGATCACAACTAAAATAATAACCAATGTTGATCAATATTAAGTTATTTCTCAAATGATAAAAAACTGCTCTTTTTTTAAGGTATTTTGTATAGTAAATTCAGACAATCAATACAGCTATAAGAGATTTATATTCTCGAATAAAGCAACTTAAGAATTTTTACACACCTGAGAGCTTTACCACTTTTTTTTTGAAGGAAACAACATTATTTATTAATCAATACTATTCCAAGAGCTTAGCACTCAGAGCGTTCTGATGTAGTCGCCGAGCCATTTACTTTTTCTTTCGTAACAGTTAATGAACGAAAAGTGAATACTTTAATAAAAATAGAAACACGATATACGCCCACGAAGACGCACCTCCTCATCGTTATGGATGCGCAACGACTGCATCACGCTAATGGGCCATGTGCCGCAATGCATGGCGCTTTTCAAAACGACCCTAAGCGTAAACCGAATAGAGTATAAAGTCCCGTGGCAATATTTTATTCGTCGTTACGATAAAACTGTAGCGTTGTAGCACAGTGAGATTGTTAAGTAACGTTAATGTATTCTACATACATGCGGCATCTATAAATATGACGTATCGCGAGACATGCCGCGCCTTTAATGGCGTGCAGCGGAAAATTTATTTGGAACGTCCTAATGCGCCCACCACCATTTTTTATCTATAAACATCGAGAGGATTTAAAAAACAATAATAGTAATAAAAAGGTTAAATAATAAGGTTAAAACAGTACTATTCGCAAAGCTTAACCGCATTGGCAACTGTGTGTAAAGGCGTGTCTAATCATACGGCAGTTTTCGTTTACTCAACAATGTTTTCCTAGTCGAGCGAGGACAACTTAGAACTGTGGTAATTTATGGAGCATTAACTTATATTTACATTGAGCATTGAGATGTTCGACGCGGTATTTCCAGTGGATCTACACGGTCGTATAGACTGCGATCGAGCGGATTAGCGGAGGGCTTAGCGCGCCGCGTTGTGGCGGCTAGTCCGGGGAACGTCCTGTCGGTCCATAAATCCTGTTCGACGGCGCGACTCTCAAGGGCGCGGCTATTTTTAGCCGTTCCCGGGCGAAGGCCGCTCCGTTCCCGGCGGAGTTAGGACGCGGCGCCCGGACATTGCCCGTCTCCCCACTCGTCTCTAACTTCGCTCTAAGGCAGCGACCATCGCTGTACAACAAGCCACTTCGGATACACGCCGGCCGGCACCGAGCAATGTACGTCACGAAAACCGTTTTCAACGAAGGGACGAACGCAAACGCGGCGATCGGAATAGGGTCGGGCGAATTTTAATGAGTTTCCGCGAATGCCACGGCAAAGGGCGCCGGCGCAGCGGTCAGCGGTGAAACAAACGTCCGCAATTGATGGCCGAAACCGATAGCTTGGTAGAACACAAAAAACCTGTTCTCATATCTGATCGATCTCTTTTTCGCTTTTCGGTTTGTTTGAGAATCTGCGTTACGTTAACTGTATTTTAACTTCGATGTGGTTCGGGGATAAAATTTCCGTAAATAAACGGCATTCCGCGAGTTGAGTTTTTGTTTATTTGACTTTGATCGGTATTCGGGTCGTACAGTTTTACTTGTGTGAGCGGCGTGCGAAATTTAGTTTAAACAAATATAACATGTTCGACTGAATCCAGGTTTGAACAATACATTATGAAAATGATTCCAAAATATGTTCTTAAAAGTTCTCTTAAGAGACATTCTCTTCATATCGCAGGATAACCGAAGCAAAATGTTTATTAGTCCTATACGTATGTCGTACACGCCGCACTAACTAGTTCTAATTCAACATATTACATCGAGAGTGGAATGTCTTAGAGGTGCATACATACTAACGGGCTCCAATTTCTGCGGAACAAAATTTTCCAACTTTTGTCATTATTTTTAATTCCGACTATGAGTACAATAATTTATCTGATAACATATTTAAGTGCAACTAGTTATACCGTCATATCAGATGACACAAGAATGAGACATATAAATAAGCCAGTGATAGTAAACCGAAATACGGAAAATATAGTGATTACATTTAGGATAACTATCACTACGTAAGCGCTCATAATTGTAACTCAAAAAGGACTGGCAGACGGTAGTATTTTATTATGCCTAAAATGTATATAATTTTACTTAACGAATTTTAATGAATTATGTTTTTCCATAGTTTTAGTGCTCTACGGAGTACAGGCAGCGGCGTAGAAAAAATTAGGCTTGTTACAAAATAGTGATGGAATAGAAGAACTCGCCAAGTTTGTGCATTCATTATATTATGCTAAAGTTGTAAGCGAGTGTTTCAAAATTATATTCGCACTCACCATTACCTCGAAATTTTTCAAAAATACTTCTCGCTTATTAAGTAAACTTACGTGCTCTGTCACATAAAGTGGGCCCTTCAAAGTTTTTGGATGTGTAAAAGTTAAGGTTTTATTATTTTCTCATTTTAAGTCAGTGTCCTTGCGTATAAAGTGCATTTCTTGGTGAATAGAGGTTTATAAAGTTGCAGGAGTCGTATATCACTCGCAGCCCATTCGGCAGCGATAGCGATAAAGCGACGCCGCGAATCCAAGGCGGCGATACCGCGCCTCTATCTGGCGATGCTTTATGCTGGCGCCGGTGCAAGCGCACTTGCTATCACGAATTTCCACCACCGCTACCACTATGATGGATGGGGCACTCGAGGTGCGCAGAGACAACTACGACTGTCGAGTCTGAGTTACGAACGAGAGATTTAAGTAATGGATAGGTTTTCGTCCGAGTAAGTACCACGACCACACAGAAGACCGGCGTGAAGGGGGAGTGTTACACTCCTGTGTTTGGGGAGTGAGGTTGCCGAGGCTCACTTCATTATAAGGTGGCAACGGATCTGCAACTGTTGCATATGTCTATTGGCGACGGTTATCATTCAACAACAGGTGAACCGCCTACTCGCTTGGCAAGTTTTCAAGAAGTACAGAAAGACTAAAAGTCAAGTTTGAGGAAGTCAATTTCAAAACAAAAAATTGGCATGTATCAGAAAGCTTACGCAAGACGGAGAGCGAAACATGAGCTGAGAGGCAATTTGCCACGCGTTCCTCGCCCAGCCCGTTAACGCCGCGCCGCACGGACGGACAGACGCGGTGCCTAGGCCCGGAGGCCGGTGCGATAATGGCGCTCGCATAGCGCGCTGCCCCGGGGGGAAAAAGTCGGCGACTCCGCGGGGGCTGGCCGCCGCCCGGACAGGTTGGACCGGCGCGGCAAAAAGCGGGGTGGTCACCGGAGGCGGCGGGTCGGCGCCCCCGGCCGGCCTTCGCCCCCGATCGGCCTTCGCCCCCTCTCCCGCCCGCCGCGCAGCAAGGACGCCGCGCCGCCGCGTTGCATAACCGCTTGCACGCACTTCGAATGTGCGCTCGCGGGTATACTTATGTGTGACACGAGAGCGAGTGTACATTGACATTCTGTTACGTTTTGATCTCCGACAGCCGTAATAGGTCCTTTAATTCAAGATACTCGAGCAACCAAAGTTCATTCTTCGATACCGGCTCCTATGAAAATGGTAATTTTAAGTGCTGACTTATCACGTGAACTGCGGTGAAGGAGTACAAACCTGCATATTTTAGAAATAATAACCAAAATAAATATTTCGAAGACATGTGAAGTCCGCCAATCCAGTGGCCGCTTGGTGCACTACGCTCTCTACCTCTGCACCGAGGAGGCATTTGCCCAGCATTGGAACATTTAGAGTTTGGCTGTTAATTTACTTTTTTGACCTTCGCCGGTTATTTCTCGTACCAAAAATTTTATAATTGCGATGCATACACGATATATGTATGAACTTACGTAATGTTTCGGAGTAGGTACAAAACTGCCGTTACAAATTATCACATTTTTACATATTCTGATATCAGCAATGTTTGTACATTGACTTTTCCTAAATCCGAGACTTTTTAAATAGAATCCTAGAGTATTTATGGAGTACAATATTGTAAATTACAATAAACTGCAGAAAGTCTGAATGCAGCTTTACACGTGCTTTACCGAGGTATCTCGCCGCAGCCTCACTCGGCTGCCATCGCTTTGTTGCAGACCATTAACGTGTCGTCGATCGGCCGCGGTGCAATGAAACTTGCATTCTTATTCGACCGCCTCGTACTTAAAACTGTCGAGTGTACGGTTTTTTGCAATGCCGCGTTCTAAAAGCGCGCATGAATGAGCCACACGCATTGTCGCTCTCGCGATGAGAGTATTTTTGTTTCGGTGTTCAACCTTTTAGACGAAAAACGAAAGGTAAGCAATAGGTCTCGTCACTAGTCTTTAGATATTATTACGGCATGGAAAACATTTCTTTATGGAGAAAAACGGCAAACGAGCTGGAGGCTCACCTGATGAACGCCGGTAACACCCGAGGGCGTACAAATGCGTTGCTGGCCTTTTAAGAAAGAGTATGCTCTCTTCGTGAACTTTTGAGCGACTTTGGATTTTAAGGACAATTTGCTATCAGCCCACCGCTGCGTATTAGTGATAGCACCGCATGCAGTAAAGCCGCGCGGGCGAGTTCATAAAACCCCTGTCTGTGATTTAATCAGCCGTATTATAGTCGCCCGAGCCGTTCTATGGAGCGGGTTCTATGCATCGCGAGCCGCCTTCTCTTTACCAATCGCATGTCTTTTGTTTGACATTTACTGAATTAATGCGTGCGCATTATTGTAACCGATAGGGGGAATTTTTCGAATTCCGCAGACGACGCGCTGAAATCTTTATCGTCGGCGATTGTATCGAGAAGAATTTTAACGAGCCGGCCATATGATAAAAGTAACAAGAATCGAAAATCGCTTTGCGCTGAAATTGCGAGTAGCCCGCGTTGGCGTTGACGATAAAGGTGAGTTCCAAAGAGGTCCGATCGGAAAGCCTCCGAGATTACGTTATTTAAATTTTTGCCTAATGGAAACTTTATCAACTTCCCGCAACAATATTTCTAAAGAGCTTATTGAAATGCGGCTCACATTTGCATGTCGCACCGTTTACGGTTTAATGGCAGGGGCCGATTCATCCATAGGTGTGGATTTAATTGTAGGAAATGGACATGGCAAGCGAAACCGGGTGCGATAGAATTTGATGCAACCGCGTAAAATATCGGAATGTATGAGAGAAAACAATAAATGTCAAAGTCGTGTAATTGTTTCATACTGCGAAATGCGGTTTCGTGTGACACGTAGGTGTCTCTTATCTTCACGAAGTTTACTAACCCTGTGAACTCATGCTGAGTGGAAACCTATTTGGGGCATTTAAATTATATTTATTTTTATTGTAAAAAAATTTCATAATATATTTATGAATTAAATAAATTTTTCTTTCTTTCTTTCATATTCAGAAATAGCTCGGCGGCTCTAATGTTATGTTTTCGATCTATTAAAGTAGCAGGATTGAATAACCAGCCATGTTGTACACTGATAAATTTTCTGTTTATTTCTTTTTTTTTATGCAAAATCTGTAATGTCTCACCCTCCGTACAGGCTCACCGCATGCAACGCGTTACTTGTAACGTTCAATCATGTTTGCTAATAAACAAATAGACTGGATGAAACATGTGATGTGATTATCTAACTCTATATTCTATTGGGTTAATGCGACATGAAGGATTTTTCATTAATTTTACTAAAGTTTTACACATTGCTCTAAGGACAACTGACACCGCTATTGGAGTAGCACTTATATTTAATTCACGGCCAAAAAATATCAATTTTAAAATAGCCATAAAGATATCCGAGATGATTGTGATAATATTAATAGTGCGATGAGATGTAATGTTCGCCCTGAGACAAGTAAAATTAACAAAGAAGCTTATTTCGACTTACCCGCACCACGCGTACCTGATGTAATAAGGACCACGAAGGTACTTTCGTAGAAATCGAGCCACAAGATCTTACCTGGAAAGTGATTATAGAGTTAGCAATAAACACAGTTGTTAGTCTTATCACGGAGCCTATTTATTCCGCGTAAACGGATCTTCACGGATATTTTTTTATTACAAATACAACAGAACATAAACAACTGACCTCATCACAGACGCGTTCAATATTGATCGATAAATACTTCAATTCCACGCGTATTATAGTGTTAAATAGTGTAGATTGTTAATTTACACAGTCATATCGCCTTGTCCATGTTTGCTTGAAAAGTGAGTTTAATTAAATTTGTTAATTTATACCGTTCCATCGACAGTTGCATGTTAAGTTTATTTTGTCCTATTTATCTTCACCCTTCGTAAATACCGTTTACCCTTCGTAAATACATACTAGTCTGATACGAATCATTAAAAAACACAAGAAATTTTGAGTGAAAGAAAAAACATATGGTTTGAAATATATCCATCACATTCTGAGTCGAAACACGAGCGAAGAGAGCGCTTATTTTTCAACAAGCGGTACCACGAATGTTGTAACCGCTACCGAAGGGAGTAATCTAGAGGTACCCAGCGGAGCAGTTGGGCTAACAACTACTAATATTCGTATCGGAGTGGTTTTGTAAGATGGCAACATTTCGACGTTCGCCTCGAGGAGCGGTGTGAAATCTTGAATGCGACACGAATAACGCAGCCTTGGTATTAGAGAGCTTTGTTGAATGTTTCTAACGGCACGACATTTGCATTGTAAATGGCAAAATGTACAGCGTTAGCACTTAACATTTCAATGATGTTATCTAAGCTCAATTCGATATGAGATACTCGGCTCCGTCAAACGGTTGCCCACGTTGATATTATTAACCCTCTGTCTTGAGAACCGCTGTATATAGCAGTCATAAATATATAATGTAATTGTTTATTTCTTTGTTGGAGTAAATTTTACAAGAAATTATGGTATATACCGTACATAAATTACGTACGTAACACTTCAAAAACAACATAGATATTATTTAATTCAATAAAAATATGAACTAATAATTATAATTACTCTTAATTGTACAACCTTAACTTAGACGTTACTTTTAACGGTTGTATATATTACCTATCAATAAGCCAATGAAAGTTACGTATAAGGTCGCTCTGGTTGTCGTGTCCAGTGCACTTTTTTCAGTGGAACAACCGTATATAGATGTGACCACACGGGGACTGCAATGATGCACTGTGACCGGATCGCCATATGCTGGATTTATTGACCGTCCAGGACCGTCCAGGGCGTCTTGTACGTGCGATGCGCGCGCGGCGCACAAGCGAATTTATTTTGTTTATGGTCAATTGCCGCATTGATACGACTACGCGGTACAAGGTGCGTGCGCGTATCGCGGTCTAGCGTATATGTACGTACGGACAACTGACAAGGAGATACTCTATGCCGTGATCGGGGGACAGATTAAATCAGCGGATCCGCTGTATGAATGTCAACTGAAACGGATAGGGGATAGAAATCAATTTTGATTGCGCCTCGACCGTAACATCGGCCCTTTTGTGTCGCCGCGCCGCGTACATTGTTCAAGTGCCAAACTGGGACATAGCGAAGGAACTAGACACAAGTCTCAACGAGACAAGTGTACGCGGCTCGTATGACCCCTAAAAGCCACCGTGTCGGCCGATGGTTGGCGGTATATGTTCCTTTATTTAGTCGAGCGCCGCGAACAGATTTCAGATTTCTTATTACTCGATCCGTGCAAGTATCGCACAGTGTAACAAATAACAATACAGGCCCTCTTGGGTATTATAAGAAATTAGAACGTTTTAAACGAAAATTATTGTTGGGGCTGTTTCCAGAAGCGACATAATATATCATGATTGGCGGAGAGGCAAGACGACTGCACAAATACAAGTAGGTGCAGCATTCCGCGCGGGAAATTCCTGACTGGTCGAACTAACTTGCACTATTCCGAGTGAAAAGTGCACATTCCACTTCGCTATCACATCAACAGCAATAATTACGCATATTATGCATTTTGTAAGGCGTTCAAAGCGGGAGAGGCAGATAACGCGGACCGTGCCACCGTTTTATCAATGCAATAAAAATGACTGCGCGACGAGGCGATGCTGTCAACTTTTTAACTGTGAAAGTACTCAGTTAGTAAACAAAAAATCAATGTACCTATATTAAATATAGCTTATTTTCAGTTATTTAAGCTAAAGCCAGAGTAATTAAAGTGGGCTTACAGTGTGATTCGACAAAGACCTCTGGCGGAAGTAACTATACAGCTTGTCGTTACAATCACGACAATAAATGAACACACTTATAGAGGATAACATTTTAAAATTGTATTAAAAATTTACATTCTTTAAGCATCAATATTTACCGAGTTATTAAATTTTCCAAAACTAACGTTTTAAGAACACCCTTACGTATCAAATGGTAACGTAAAGTTCGTTTGTAAAGGTCACAAAGCATATGATTGGGTTGAAAGAATTTGAAAGAGATAAAACATACTGTTAGAAGATTTGTAGTGCGACGCTGCGGCAACGAATGAAAAAGTGACGGTTGTAACGACACGCTGTATAATGTGAAATTAAGCCTAGAAGTAGCTTGATTAAGAATTGCAGTATATTGATATACTGCAATTCAGTGATAAAAGTAAATTAACAGCCTATACATGTCCCACTGCTGGGCAAAGGCCTCCTCGACACAGAGGGTATCAGGGCATAATTCACCACGTGGCCCCACTGCGGATTGGCGGACTTCACATATTTTCGAAATATATTTTTTTTGTTATTATTTCGAAAACATGCAGGTTTCCTCACGATGTTTTCCTTCACCACGGAGCACGTGATAAGTCAGCACTTAAAGTTAATTGGTGCCGGCACCGGGGATCGAACTCAGGTTGCTCGAGTATATTGAATTAAAGGCGAGCGGCCGGACACTGAGCTATCACGGCTCTTGCAATTCAGTGATTCGTAAAAAGTAAAAAAAAACCGAATTAAAGATCCCTTAACAGTTTGCATCTAGAATTATTCATCTGAAACAATATGACCTGAACTGATCGCATAATTATTTTAAGGGCGATTTTCCTATTGATTAATAATGGCTACCTTTCCCCTTGGTCGTCATATGATGTGAAAGTGCCAGCCCTTGGCGGGTCGGTGTTTCAAGATCGGTCGCGACGTTTCCCCGTACATCGCAATAAAAGTCGTAGCCGCGGCGTCTATGGTAATATCCTTATACAAAGCCGATCGCCTGTGACTGACGGACGGCCGACTCTTTTCATATATCGTAGCGGCGATGTTACATTGTTGTATTCGCCGTGTGGCGATAAATCTTGCTCGGGACTCGCTAGTTCGGCCGCCGCGACCGTTACGTGTGTTTGTTATTCAATCCCGTCGCTCGAACGTTTCGTTGCACGGTTCCGATGGAACAATGGAATAGAGACTAGAAGGTGGTAGCAAATCTCTGCAAATAACGCTATGTTAACTAATGGATAAAAATTCATCGCAAAATAATTTTCTTTGACTTGACTTTTAACCGAAAATGATAAACAATTTCAAAACGTAACTTTTGAACACAAGTGTGTATTAACGAATGCATCGCGCGAACGAACGTGCAATCATCACGTATTGAGTCATCGGAACGTGATATTTCGCGCGCGAATTTTGGCGGGCGCGTGATCGGTTCGAATTCCACCATTGTGAATTCGAAAAGCGCGCGAATGTTACCGCAGCTCGAGCATTACGCAACGGTTGCGGGCGCTATGTATGTTATTAAATGTTACCAATTTCATGTTCCATATTGACAAGTTAAGTATATCATTGTTTCTAAGTACTTAATAATTTTTTTGGTACGAAGGCAAAAAAGTGAACATAATAATGTTTTTAAACGAAAAGAAAATACTCGTATGAACTGAATTCATTGTGATTTCTTCGCGCAGACTTGTATTATGCCGTGTCGACTGTCGCGATTTGGTTCGCAACGAAGACGAGTGTGCTCATTGGCGGGCTGGAGACGCTGTGAACAGAACAAAGGCCGGGCCGCGCGAACTATTAGGCGAACTAAAGGCAGCGCGTGGCGGCGAAGCGGGTCAAGTATACCGGAAGCTGCGGGCGCGTGCTCAGCCCGCTCCTGTTCAGTCCCCATCGGGGCAACACAATGGGCCGCGTACCGGCTATCTGTTGCATTGTACGCGCTCCCGATACTGATGCTCGCACAGGACACTTCCCTTTATTCGATCAGTGCATTTATTACAGTCGAATGGGCCTTCGATAATATTTTTTTTATGGTGACAAGCGAGCTGACGGTTCCTATAGTCATCTGCAACACCCGTGTGGTTTCAAATTCGCTTTTTAAATAAAGTTGGCCCCGGTTACGGCACTTTCCGTCTAGCAAAAGTATTAAAACACGCCACTCACTCCGGGTTTGTGTGAGATCGTGGTAATTCCTCGGACGAGACTGCCCAATTCGTGCACCAGTAGACTGCTGCGTGGCCCTACCACTGACTCCGCCGATGGCACGGAATTATTGAATATACAAATCAAACTGTACAATCTTATCAAATAAAATCATTATATTAACATAAGGTAAATAAGCACAAGTTGTACCGGCTCCAGATAATAACGAGCGTGTATTACGTACGCAAATTCAGTTCAGGCACATCGCTCGCGCCAAGTTGTTGTAATGTCCGTTTATTTGACGTTAATTAATTATTTAAGGACTATCGTTGAAATGTGGCCGACATAGTTACCGGTTATCAATGTTCGCGCGGTAATATTTTATGCAATCAACGTGCCTAATGACGGCTCACTCCCATTGCGGTGTCGACATTACGCCACCGAGTGCACCGGCTTAATGCGTATTTAACTGCTTATCGGCGAGACACAAAAATGCGGTAGTTTGGCCGCTTATTAGCATTTGTCCACTCGCGACTTTCGTGATATGCAGCTTGAATAACGGCGAGTTAATGTGTCCATTACGTGAACCACGCCTAATGCAAGTATCCAATAAACGGGTCGCTTGCGACACTATCCACTATATTTAATATAATGAATGTGTAGTTTTATAAATATGAATATATTAACTAATTAAAAAAAAATGTATTCAAATTAAAAAAAAAACATCACTTATGACCCCCATCAGGGTTTTGATATTTCAAAAAGCGAACGCAGTCGATTTCCGCGCGAATGACGTCACACGAGCCGAGTCCGGGCGCGAGGGGAAAGCAATTAGTGTGCACGGGGCGTGGGCACGGGCGTTTGGTGCCGCCACCACCAGAGCCCTAACGAGCGTGGGTTGCTGTTCTGGTACCACTCGGTCTCCACTCAGATTCGTTGCGGCCGCCGAAGCGTGTCTAGTTAACGGCTTCAGGGTTTACATTGCCTAATTGAATGCACATAAAAAAAAAAACATGCGTGTTGATAAAATAGACATCTCAATTAATATCCTCTGGTATCGTTCCATATTGCTCTAAGCGTTCACGACTGGTATTATTTGCATAGATAAATAGTCGTGAATCACGATGATAAATCAACTAATGAGTATACAAAGGAGAAGGATATGCACCGCCTGCGGTCTCCCATTTAGCACAATAATGGCTCAACTCTCTCGCCCATATCATCCTAGTTACAATCGCTTCGCCATTCATCGCAAATGTACTGAACATTAGATAGAACATTATTACATTGTCTTTACTTTAATAGCTATAGCAAGCTATTTTAATCAAGGGCCCAAATCAAATACACAATAGAGTAGTACCGAAGTATCTGTCATAGTATTACATTATCTTTATACAAATCTTACAAACAATCATCAACGTATGCTCCCCATTATCGCAGTGATGGCGCCATAATAGGAGAAAACTGTTTCAAACCACCGTTCAAGCTGTAATAGTAATGTAATAGTAATAAAAATTTTAAAAACAAATAAATAAAATACATCTTTAAATGGAAATAATTTCAATATTGAAAACAAAACGTTAGTTTTATCTGGTGTATATTTGAGTTTCATCTAAAGTGAGACTAGCAACGACATATAAAATGATAATTAGAACGCCTATTAAGCAACAAAAAATATATCGAGCTTCGTTCTAGGGCACCTGTCGGCGTTGCATTCGCTCTGCTGCTCCGCGGGCCGTATGCGCCGGCGTCGCGACGCCCCGGCGCCGCCGCCGACGCCCCGGGAACAGACAGCCGGCGACCCCGCGCCGATCTCGGCCCGCGTATTAGCGCGGGGGCCCGATTTAAACTGCCCGCTAATCTAAATTACACGCACTCCTCGGCCCTAGCCAACGAGGAGAGCCGCGTTGGGTTCGTGGGTTCAGCTTAGTACACGAGCACTGCGTTCTGTTATATACGCAAGTCGTATGTAATAGTCATGACCCTAGATGAGCATGTCTCAAGTTCATTGCAGTTCAGTGCCATTTTTTCTGGAGTCTCAACAAACTACATACAGTAAACAAATTATTTTGTTTAAAAAGTGATTTTTCAAATCCTACATAACAGTTCGATGAAGCTTTAATAGTCTACGGATTGATAAAAAATTATATGAGTTAAAGTAAAAGTAACAAAACACGCACCGGTCCATCTCTTGAGGCTTCTGGTGCTTCACAATTGCTATTGGGGACAATACAATTAAAAGCAGTTCGGCACCGTGTAATATTAATGAAGCAATTCATGGCAAACATGACTTGATAAATCGACTAACGAATACACTTTAGAATAATTTTAGATGATGATTTTATGTGTTGGATTACAACAAAGGTAGCAAGCACGCCGTATGAGCAATACTACATTTAAGTATTGTTTAAGTTAAAATTCAATTAGTTTGATTTAGACTTTTTAATAGGCGTTTTAATTATAATTTTATATGGTGACTCCGTGGCGCAGTGGCCAAGGTATTGGCTTCGGCGTCGGTGGTCGTGGGTTCGATTCCCACACGGGACAACTATTTGTGTGACCCACAGATAGTTCTTTCGCATCTGAGTGTTTGTCCGCGTGAAATTTATGTTTGTAAAACGTCCTTACAGCACAGGATAAAGTTATCCTAAAGTAAGGGCAATGTGTATAAAAAAAGAAAAAAAAAAGATTATTGGTTGTTCAAAGTAATGAAATACGGTATGGATTGTTTTCGTAAGCAGTACGGGGTCTAGATCTCTTCAACAGGCGTATGTAGGTGGCCTTAAAGAGGTAAGATTTATGCGCCCGCGCCTCGTTCGTTTAATATTTCGCATCCGGTATCCACTTTCCAAACGGGCGTGTTTGAAAATTGCCGCATCTCCGCCGCGCCCGGTACGCTAATCGCGCAATTTTTGAACTAATCTCTCAGGTTCTATTTTCATTGCGTAACTTAAGACATTAATGAATGAGTGCTCTATAGTTCAATCTACAAATAGCAGCTATATTACCTTTTTTTTGTATAACTGATGTCACGCTTTTAGTCCTTAGACTATTAAAGCTTCATCAAATCCATAACCGGTGGGCTAGCCAGAACCCACGGGTTTGAGGCCCTCCTTAGTGGGTAGGGCTGCGCATGTACTCATGCGTGCGTTAGTTGTGACATGTCGCCTACGGGCCAACGAGGTACGGTGAGGACCGTCTATATTACCTTCCGCGGTAGCTTTCGAGACAGTTATTTGTTAATATATCCATTTTCCGTGAAACCACTTGACAGTTGCCGAGGGTAACTCAAATGAGATGATTTTTAGAAAAAAATATTACCATAATAAAAGCGAAGTAACAAAGACGTTTATTACTTTATTGTCTTTCGTTCCTAACCGTGATCCAACAAGGAGAAAATTCTTCGTTTATCGTTCCTTCGGTTGGGGACATAACTTGCTGTATTATTGATGGCGTAGAAAGACGCACACAATATACGGAAAAACAACACACGATTGGGCCGTAAATAACATACACAGATCCGTGCGCTCTCACCGCGTCCTCTCGACGCCGGGTTCGCGCGCGATATCGCAACGTCAATTTCGCAAACAAAAGCCGTTTCAATTTCCGCGCCGACAATAAAGTGTAACGAGGTACGTTCCCGGCGGGGATTGGAAAGTAAAACGTGCGCTATGGCGCGGTACAATCGCGCGCTTTACGGGGCCGCCCCAACGCCTGCGGTCAGTTCAAAGGGCCACCCTGTGCCCTAGACGATTGGGGCGCGACACGTTCTCTGCGGCCACCTGAAATCGATCTTAACCACGCCGATCCCAAAGCCCGTTATCGCGTTACACGCGTGTACAGTCGAGTTGAGCGACTATGCCGCAATGCAAAGCTTATCAATGTGCGCTTGGAAACGGAATAAGAATTACTCCCGATCCGTAACAATGGTCGACGTGTGCAATCGCTTTTATGAGTTAGCCTCTCGGTTGAGCTAACGTTGAGATCGACCTGCACCAATTCCACACGCCCCTCGCGGAAGCGAGAGCGCCGCGATTGTGGGTCAAAAGCAAATGTATGCGGAAGGCAGTCGCAATTGTTGCGAACGCTTGTGCCATTACACATTTCTTCATTTATAGGTAAAAGGTCAAAGCTCTTTAGCGGAGTCTAGTATTATTTGGTTTTTCCGCTAGTTCATACTGATGGTAAACAAGCGTTCAAAGTATGAGCGGTCAGTCAATAATAGATTGAATCGATAATCTATCTAACCGCAATACACTCTTTCACGTGGTCTAACGCAATGTGTGGTCGGTCGCTTTCTTTGTTGGCTCTACAATTTGTCATTATACATAATTATTGCGTATATATCGTACAAAGTTTCTTATATAGTAAATCTAGTTAAAACTACCAGATTTAACTGGCCATTCATAGTGTCATGTCCACCCGAATCTTTAAATATCTCGAATTTGCGTAAACGGTGTTGTTTCCAATATTAATTAGGCGACTCCGGTTATAGGGGGGAGTTGCAAAAGCGGCTAGGACGCTCCCAGATGCCGGTCGGCCGGTCATTAGAGGCCGTGCGCACAGCGACCGCAACTCGGCCGAGGATCTGATAGTGCTGTTCTTAGTAAAGCGCTCTGTCCATATAGGAGGCGACGACGGCTGAGATAAAAAAAAGAATCTCTATGATACCGAACCGGTTCAAATTAAGCGAATTTCGACAGCGCCTTCGCAGAAACGTGCGTTACGTCCGATCCTCGTTCACGTTCCAGCCGGTGATGCGATCTGAATACGAGTGCGCAACAACAGCAGGTGTACCCGGATCGGTATCTTGTACCTTAAAAGTACAAAGTTACAACACGATCGTTATCATCGCGCACGCACTTGGACTTGCAAAGCAATCGAACACACTACGTCGCATGCACCCATACGTACTAGGAAGCACGACATCTATCAGCATGTCAGTTTGTGCGCCTTAGATTCGAGAACCACCAAGTACATTCGACACCACCTTGATGGTTGGCGGTACACCACTGTGCGTTTGTCACGCAATTTTCTGCCCCGCACAATTACTTTGTGAAACGAGTTGTCGCCAGCAGTATTTCCGGACCGATACGAGTTAGGGACCTTCAAGAAGAGAGCCTACTCCTACCATAGTGGTCGGCAACGCAATTACGTTGCCATGGGCGGCGGTAATCGCTTATCATCAGGTGACCCGCTTGCTCGTTTGCCTCCTATTTCCAATAAAAAAGAAACCACTGATCCGATTTACAGGATCTTTAATTAGTATAGAAATGTTTTACTCTATCAGGTTTATTATACACTTACTTATTTAATTCGAAGAAGGAAAATATATATATTAAAATACTTGTTTAAAAGCCATACATATTATAATCCATCTAGTCGTATCAGAGCTCATGCGATACATCAGACAACAATTCTTTTTGGTTAAGTAGTTGAAATCGCTGAAAGACATCACGTATTTCATGATATCTCACATCTCCAAACTTATTTAAATTTCGATACTTAATCATCAGGCGCGAACCTAATAGATTAAATGACCGCGTACCGGGAGTACAGTGTAAAACAACGCCACAGTATATTATACATATATGGGCGGCGTTATTCACTCACCATCAAGTGAACCGTCTGCTCGTTTGGCAACTTTTCAAATAAAAAAAAAATATGGATATGTCATGACAAATTCAATGTTCGTATATAATATGATATATATTAATTTAATTATTATTAATATATATATATAATACAATATGGTATATATTATATCTCGATAAATAAGCCTATCGGCTTAATTATCGCGATATCTCAACCGTGTGATGGTTCTTGGCGCGCAGTCGAACATACGGGTATAGATGGGAATACCTAATCTAAATTGCCCATCGGATGTCGTTAGACAACAGCCAACGCCGACTATAATTTCTCCGGGTAAAACCGCCACAGCATTTGACGTATCAATTTGATATAGCTTGAATGATTTCTCTTCATGACCAAAAGTTTTACCTATGTTGTGGTGATCGCAACCAAATGTAGCTCTCAAAAGACCATTTGCTGCGATGTTAACTTTTAAACTTTGATTGAACAAACTCAAAAGCATATGAAAAAGAACATAATATGCATTATTTATTCACAAGCTGCACTAAACAAAAATTTTTATGTTTTTAAAAAAAATGTGTACAGTTAAAAAGTTCCCACAGTCTTCAAAAACAATTTGATTTTACAACGCGTTAAAAACCGATTTCTTCACACGTTTACAGCGCGGCTATAGATGAATGTGATAAGTATATCATGGATCAAATCTGATAACAACCTTTATGGACGCCAGTAAATTTTGTGGTAAAGGAAAAATACTGTGATGACTGTATTAGACGTCACATCTTAAAGTGAAAATGTGGTGGGTTAGGTGGGTTGAATTGCTGCTGTTATTAAGGGACAATGGTATGACTCTTTTCACTAGATTTGTCAGCATTACGTTTACGACGAAGACGGAAATTACTATACCACTGTCATTATTATCTTTATTCTAAATTAGTTATAGTTATAACATAATTATATTGGTGCAAAAACCGCTGTCACTAATAATACATATCATATATATTGCCTTAGCTTTTAAGCTCTAAAAAATATAACTGGTAATAAAAGGTATAACTGGATGCTTGTGTAAACCATTTACGATCTTTAGGAGTAGACAAAGTTTCGACAAGGGATAACCCTTAATAATAAAGGGGTTGTAAACAATAATGTTCAACATAAACACATCCGGGTCCATCTCGACGATGCTCGGCACGATGACGATCGGTACCTTGCGCGGGAAAGGTGGGAGGGGGCTTAATTAAACGATAATTCACCCCATAATGGAATCTTAAACGGCGCTGGCGGCTCGTGTAACTGGAAAGCGCGGGAAAAAAGTGCGCGCGGTTGAAAAACGCC